CTTCATCCACTCTCACTCTCTCTCTCTCTCTCTCTCCCTCTGCCTCTCACTGTGGATTAATACATGCATGTATGCAACATATGGTGTTGCCAACAGTTATGCAGTTATAACTGAACTATGTTAGAATATGTAATACTATTACTACTACGGCTAGACAGATAGACACAGACGTATAAAAAAGAAAAAACACATTACACCATACACAGTTTCTGATATTATACCCTGTCAAAATTCGAATAGTTTGCTGTGAACTGAACTGTGCTAGTAGTTGTAGCACTAGTGGTTGATATTACCTGTGTCTGGTTCTAAGGTTTATTATATACACTGATGGTCGGTGTGTTTGGCATGCATTAGCATGCACATTTATGTATACATTTGCATAAATACAGGATATATGTAACGCTTATATAATATATATACATATAAATATATATATATATATATATATATATATATATATATATATATATCGATTTAAGCCCGGTCATTTTGTTACTTGCCGAATTCCCTTGGGCTTATTAAGGTAATTTGAAAAAAAAATACCCTTCAATATGCCGGGGAATAACTGTGAAAATTTATCATGCATATATGTACATAGTCCTATTTTTGATTGGGCACAAGGTGACGGATTGACTACACTGACTGGTTTCAACGTAGAACTTTGAACAGATGTGCAGCAGTTCGAGTTGCCACACTCCCTCCATGTAGTAGCGTACAAAGCAAATGAAAAGAGTAAAGTTCAAATAGGCTGGCTTCAAGCAGTTGTCCCTTAGGCAGCTCTGCAGTCACACAACACTGATTATCTTTCTCTTTTAAGTACCCTGAAGAAAAAATCAACTTCCACGGTGTGGTCAGCCGGCAAGTAACAACCGCCCACCCATTTCCAAAAGCACACGAAGCCCTGTGCACAAGGTAGTAAAGTAACTGATGTCATGCGTCCAGTCCTTGGTATTGGTTCACACCGAATTCTATTAAAAATTTCATACACAATTCTTCGCGTTAATAAACTTGAACACAGCGTGAACGACAAATGTGTACCTGGATAATGTCAGCTTATTTTTATGTTATTGTGAGGATTTTTCTTAACTTACTAAAACCTGATGACAACATAAAAATATAACTACATCAAAGATTTTTTTTGTTCCTTCACTTTCCCAGTGGAACATAGGTGGCTTCAAGCTAGAGGCTTGAAGTTTAAGTAGCAGTGGTGTTTGTTTTTACGGGATGAGGTTGCTAACCTCATGCCTAACGCCCCCCTTTTGTTTAGCAGTCTTATTACTGGCTTAGCGACGTAAAGGAATGCATCGGTTGGGGATCAAACCCCGAACCACACGCGTGATCGGGGGGCATTCTACCACTGTGCCAATGACTCACACACCAAGGATGTGTACATCCTTTTTCCACGATGACAAGGAGTACTTGGTAGGAACTAAGAGTAACATTAGTTCAGAATGATGTAAGTTGTTAAATAATTGAAGGTGAAAAGGATTGAACTATTTATAGGAAAATTAGACGAATAAGCTTGAGAAACAAGGAAATAGTCCAACGCAACCAGAAAAAGCATGTTTTTATGAAATAGCCAAAAAAAGAGAAGGGAGGGGGAGGTAGGGTGGTGATTCATGCTTAGCTGAAACAATAAAATTTTCAAAATAGGATAGAAAATGATGTAGTAAAATTTGTGATCACCAAAGAAGTTCAAGATTTATCACTGTCTTTTTCTTCATACATAGTTTGTTTGCTTCTAATCGTTTCATGGCGATCGCCTTAGCAAAACGTAGTGAGCTAGTTGGTTTCTTTTGCCTGTTGATTATATTGAACATATTCAGATTGTCCACAACATAGCCAGTGTCCGATAGATGGCTGTCAGTTGCATTGTTTAATGCTTATGAGCCCTTTTGTCTTAAGTTCTTTGGTATGTGTTCGGAGGTGGGGACAATAACATTTTTCTCTGTGCTTTGGCACGTACGTAAAACTGGTAGACATAGTTGGAGGTAATATGAGGTGGGAGTTTGTCTACTAGTGACTGTCGTAAACAACTAGTTGTTTGATAAAAACAGCTTGGCATTTGGATATGTTCTTTTCATAGCAGCGTTCAGTCTGTATCTAATTCTAATAACAATATCATCAGGTTTGAAGGTAAACTGTAGAAAGATGAACTTTTTCTCTACTATGCTGTAATTCACTTTGTCAACACTACTTTCTCCATGTTTGTCGATGGAATTCTGTGAGTAAACATAATTACACAGACCTTTTTCCACAGTGGATGGTTCTTCCGTGACATTTTCTTCTGAGCAAAGCTTTCTTAAACGAATGGATAATGTTCTTACCAATCCTTTAGGACTGTGTTGAATATTTTGATTGGACACTAGGTAGTGACTACTGTCATGAGTCTATTGCTTCGTTTACTGCAGACTGAATTCTATCAGTGAAGATTTTGTAGCACTGGGTGAAATGAGTTAAAATCTCTAAGGGGACATGAACTCCCACAAGTTCGCATACATGCCTTGCTGACTGACTGATGAATGTCAACAAACACGAAACTTAACTCGAATGCCTCCTGCCAATCGCCTCGAACCATCTAATAATAACAACGAAGTGGTACTGTCAGTTTATGCTTAATTTTTTGTTGCTCGGATATCATTAGTTTCTGTAAGATGATACTGTGGGACTGGACTACATTGACTTCTAACTTGATGGGAAGAAGTGAAGTGGAGGAGAATATTGATCCCTTTAATTATGTGGAGAGTCGCATCACCCGCTGATTGTTAACGAAATGTCAACACAGATACAAAAGGTTTCTGTGTGTGTGTGTGTGAGAGAGAGAGAGAGATTTACCAACTTACATTATGTCTAACTGGTAATTGTGATAGCCGGCTTGTTATCGACCAAAGGAAGCGCGTACAACTTAATAGTGTACTCTGTCCTTCTTTATAGCTGTGAGACATGGTCTCTAGAGGTGGTAGATTTGAGAAAGTTAGCTGTCTCTGACCAAAGATATTTGCATTCTATTTTCCGTATTATGTGGTATAATATCATGAGTAACAACGAAAGGTTAGCTGTTAAATACTAGTTATAGGGAGCAAGTCAATCGATGAGGTTATAAAACAGCATCTTTCTCCTGCATACATCTACTCATTATAATCCTTTTGAATCTCCTTTTTGTCTCCCTTTCCTCTGCTTTTGTGTGCAAATGGAGTGTGACAACCTAAACTGGTACACTTCTGTGCAAAGTTCTGTGTTAAAATTCAGTCTCAGTTATATAAATTCATGTGTATGTGTGGGGGTAAGAGAGAGAAGTGTTGCTTGTCACCATCATTTGAATTGCATAAAGCAAGACTGTATACGTGATCTTCAGGTAAAAAAATGTTTAGCGTCATAACTGCAAGATGTCGAATCGGCGTTTCCAACAATTCCAGTTGAATTAAGCCGTATCTGGGAGTTTTTAGTAAAAGGATAACTTTTTCATTGCTCTCAAATTGTGCTACTATTTGTATTCAATCGACTTTTGTATAATATGTGATGTTTCTAACGTTGTACTGGTTCCTAATTGTTGTTTCATGGACACTAGAATACTCGCGACACGTTTTCCAATGAATCGACAAGGTTCCGTTGTTGATTTGACGGATGCGGGACTAACAATGGAATCCTGAATGTGCATTTCGTCCTATTTGTGACTCGTCTGGTGGATAACGCTTTAACGTTTGTAATGAATGATACTCGTGGCCTCGTTGTGTAGCGGTTAGCACTCTGGACTCTAAATCTAATGACTCAAGTTTCGGTGAGGCCTCGAGCTAAGTACTTTTGGTGGAGAAGTGGCACATTGGTTTAAGTATCTGACTTACACCTAATGGCTCCCGGCTTCGAGTCTTGCTTCATCTAGCTCTACCTCAACGTAGACATCTGGGCGGTATTACCAGCCCTCACACACACACAGTAAGTGTGTTGCCCATAATACGGTACGTGGACTGAGTTTTAATAAGGATGGTACTGATTTTAGTCTCAATGGGGACAACATCACTCAATTATGATAACAGCTAAATCCAGACAATGAGTCCAACAGTATAACGGAACGCATATATTGGGTTCCATCAAATAGCGATATGTTTATCCCCAAACATCGTCAAAACATTCGTACTAGCAGCTGACATGACAACAGAAGCCGAATATTTCGATTCAATTAACTGACGGGAAAAACAAGACTTGACTTAAGCTACCGTTATTACTATTGCAGTTAATACGCGTATTCATCCCGAAAATGTGAAGATCCCTGTACAATGCGTAACTTCCTGGCGTGTTTGTTTAACTGTGAGCGTAATATAGTTATTTATCTGTCGACAGGATATATCTGGTGATTTTCGCATTCATTGCGCACCTAAGCGGACGTGCTAACAGCCGTTAGCATGAAGTTTTGAAGTTTCAGTAATTGTGGTATTGCTTTTATGTTAAAGGGGCAGGTACTTTAGCATTCTCAAACCTTCCTCATTCCTGGGCTTATTATCAGCTGTCAAAATAGGCGAGATCTGGAAGTGAGTTAGTTGCCTAAGGGTGTCAAACCCCGACCACATACTCTGTCTGTCTGTCTGGATTCAACATAGAACTTGGCACCGAAGTGCAGCAGTTCAACTTGCCACGTTCCAAATAGCATACAGAGGTAGACAAAAAGATGAGTGAAGAGAATTAATAGAGTTTCACAAGTATAAGAGTGAAACAGAATGGTTAATGGTAGAAAGGTATATATGATATAAATAAATATAAATATAATGTAGAAAGGACCACATACTTGGCTATGATGAGCATTTAACAATCACTGAACCACATATACCTCTCTTTAGTTGTATTATATGTACATATATTTATTTCATCTCATAATATATCACATTTTGACTATTTATCACAGTCGTCTTTCCTTTTACTCCGCCTTATTCATTTGTTTTGAACAGTTGCCTTTCTCTATAGTGTTACTCTTTACTTGCATTATTATTTCCCTTTCTTGTGTTTAGCAGTCGGTATAGTACTCAAAATTTCAATGAAATGAATCCAGCCACTCTGCTCAGTCATATTAATGTTTTAGAAAATTGGTTATTAAAATTTGTTAAAAATGTTGGCGAAGAGAATAATCTTCTACGGAAACGTATTAATGAGATTGAAGGCAAAATTAAAGGTAATCACTTGTGTGTGGTGTGTGTGTGTGTCTATATTGTTGGCTTTCATGCTTCATTGTTTTGCCTATTATCTGTGTATATGTATGTCTTGTTTACATATAAAGAAACATGTGAAGACAGGTGAAAGGCAGTTATGAGTTCTAATACAATACTATTGTATCGTTAACTGATATTTGTTCCACAATGAGTGGCTTTCGTCGTTCAGTAGTAGGCTGTTGGATAACACCTTGTTGTTTCAAATGATGAGGACTGACGTTAAGTTTCAAGTAGGTACATTTTTAATTGATGGAATATGCCATCTCTCATTCCACTGCTGGTCACCATCATCGCAGTTACATTACTTAGCGAATATTGTTGGAAGTTTAGAAGGTACGCATCATTACTTTTTGAATGTTCACAAGTGAATTAGAAAAAACTCCCAGCAGTAATAAGATAAAAAAGGCCTCATCATCTAGTGTCTCCATGTAGAAGTTCGACAGTAGAACAACTTTTTCAATTGTAATTGATTATTGACTATCATTTTATTATTATTCCAAGTGGAACATAGGGCTTCAACAGCACGTCTCCATTTCGTCCTATTCTCTGTGATCCTTTTCATTTGGCTTCCCCACGACTGTGACCATAGTATCTGGTCGCCTCATCGAACGATCTCCTCAATGTTGCCCTCACTCCCACACCCTTAACTCATCGTTTTCATTTCTGGTTCCACTTGAGCGCCTGCCTGTCGCGCTGTTTCATTCAATGATAGTCTTTTCAATATGCGTCCGTTCCATTCGCATTTTCCTCGGAATATATGTGTTCAGAAATAGATTCTTGATTGATTCGTTTCGAGAGTTTCTTGTTGTTAATTCTTCCCAACAGGTCATTTGATCTTTCTGACTGAACACTAGTAACTAGTGTGATGTGTCTAGTGCTTTCTTTGGTGCAGACTGAATTCTATCAGTCAGGTTTGTAATGTGGCCACCATTCTAGGTAGCTCGCCATGACGGTGCACATTGATTTGATGGTAGTAGATGGTTGGAGGCAATCGGCCACAGGAAGCCTCCCACCCTAGGTTTCGTGTTAGTTGGCACTCGTCAGCAAGGCATATCTGTAACCTTGAAGAAACTCATGTCCCTTCTGAGATTCGAACCTGCGTCACCCAGTGTGCTGCAGTCAGAGACGTTACCACTGGGCTATTCGGGCTCGCCATCTAGATTGATGGCCACATTACGAACCTGACTGATAGAATTCAGTCTCTACCGAAGAAAGCACTAGACACATCACACTAGTTACTAGTGTCCAATCAAAATATCCACTACAGTCCTACAGGAGGTCAATCGCGAGTCTGAATGGCTCAGTGGTAACGTCTCTGACTGCAGCGCAGAGTGACGCGGGTTCGAATCTCAGAAAGGACATGAGTTCCTTCATGGTTGCAGATACGCCTTGCTGACGAGAGCCAAGTAACACGAAACCTAGGTCCAAGGCTTCGTGTGGCCGATTGCCTCCAACCATCTAAAGCCATTTAATCTTCAATATGGTGTCCTTGAAAGAGGCAGCTGTTGATAAAAATCTACAGTAGCCTGTTTGAAATTTTATTCTTAACTCTCAGCACACGTTTATGACCCATATAGAAGAGCTAACTGACTAAAGACTGATGTTGAAAATCCTAATTTTGTTCTTTTTATCCTAGAAATAACAGTCTCAGTTTAATAACGCAAAAAGTACTTCTAACCACCTGAAACGTTACCGCGATTAGTTTTAGAATAATAATTTGAAAATTATAGCACATATCTGAAGAGTACTGGTTATGTGATTTTGACTGTTTGACAGTCTGTTTGTCTATCTATATATCCGTCTGTATGTCTGTCTGTCCACCTATCTTCGTATTTGTTAATTTTTTCACATCATTCCACCTATATATATATATATATATATATATATATATATACGGCCATTAATGTTGTGAAGTACTCTACTGGTGAAATTCCAATGTCACCTTATGAATGTTGATGATGATGGTAATGATTACATCTCAACTCAAGTATTGCTTTTGTAGATGCACTTGTATGCATCAAAAAAGAGTGTATGTACTACACATGGTGATGGTAATCAATAAACTTCAAGAGCATACATACATACATATATGACAGTGTTTGTTACTAAGGTGTATTATACTACTCATATGTTGTATTATGCATTCAAAAGATTTCAATAGGAGGAAAATCTTCATTATAATAAAGATTTTTGTATTTCCCTTTATTATAATGGATATCATATACCCAATGCCCAATTTTTTTCAAACCGTTAAAAGTGAACTTTTGATTTGGACATATATAAGGAGGAAAATCTCTTTACAATGATTTCATTTTCATACCTCTTTCACAGTTGTATCCACATATATCGATTACAGTCGACGGTGTTTCAGTGTATATATATGTGTGTATGAGTGGTAACTCAGAAGGTGTTTATAAATTACCAATTGAATAGAAATATGAATAACAACACAGGGAATCGACAGAAGTTAGAATCCATAGGCTATTGGGTTCTGTTCCAATGACTGAATGGTTTAGGTTCAGTCTTTGGTGGGGTAGTGGATGCATGCTGATGAGGAGATCCAAACTAGGACGAAACAGCTGTCCAGTACTCCCCCCCCCCCGGATTTTTATTGTTGTTCTCTAGCTGATATCAATCTGTGATCAAACTGGCAATAAGGAAAGGCAACAGAAATTACAATAGATACTAGCAAAAAGATGTAATAGAGAGATCGAATACATAAGGAAATACGAAATGTGAATATGCAGATATATGTCAGGTCGAATTTATTCTTCAACAAAGTACGACGAAGTGTTCTAGGAATCCTTGACAGCAGATAGTATGAAACCCAAACTATGTCTAGTTTTTTTTCTTCACGTCCCCAGTGGAACATAGGGCTTCAAGCTAGTGGCTTGAAGTTTCTGTAGCAGTGTTTATTTTTACAGGATGGGGTTGCTAGCCTCATGCCCAACTTTTCCTCCTTACCAGCATTATTTCTGGCTTAGCGAGGTAAAGGAGTGCGTCCGTGGTCGGGGATCGAACCCCGGACCATGTGCATGTTCGTCGAGCGTCATAACCTCTGTGCCAACGACGCACGCCTATACAAACAGTTTATACTATCTATATTGTCACTTCGGACTCTATTTTATCTAGTGATTTAGAAAAAAACGCCTTTATTCATTCATATTTCTAATTGATTTGTCTTGGCGAGAACAGCATCACTCCACTGGGAATACAGGTGTATGCCCATCCAGTTGACGAGTTCTAAGTGGCATGAGACTTACATTCTGGATTCCACTGCTGGTCACCCTCAACCATAGTCATATCATATGAACCACTTCCCATTTTAATATTTCTTCCCATTATCAAATATTTTAGCACACACACACATACATATACGCACTCAATAATAGTTGAAGGTGGTTTACTACAGGATTCTCGAATGTGAGCCTCGGAATTACCAGTCCTCAGCTGTATCAGGGAACAACTTCTAACCAGGTCGTCATTTCTCATCTAACGCGCTCATAAATAACCTGGTACTGCTGACGTAGAGTAGACTTCAGTCTTTCTCTTGAAATACTCTTATATGGCCACATGTTCATAGCCTCTGCTAGGTTATTCCCATTCACTGCCTTCTTGCAGCGAGGTTGTTCCCCGTAAAAGTCAAAAGGCGAATGCAAAAGCCTGACTCTTACATATATAAACCTCAACTTTTATATTTTTTATAATTTTTCCTTTGTGTTCTCTGATGTCATTCTCATACGATCTACACCGTGTCACCATCTCTCTCCCTCTCAAATCGTTGTTCCTATTTGGGTTCCATTCGGGCGATATCTTGGCGTGCGGTATTACTCGACGATCTCCTCAGAGTGTGTTTTTTATCCATCTCCTCTTTCTTCTGCGATGAGATCTCTTAGGCCATCATGAAGCTTACAAAATAGGACTGCAAAGAATCGGATGAAATGGGAATGTGCTGTTGAAGCCCTTCATTCCACTCGGATTCCCAGGGTAATAATGATATGATCGTGATAATAATACATATATTTTGTAGAGCATGTTGACCACTTCACTTATTTGGGAACTTGCATCAGCCTCAGTGGGTTGTTCGTTGACAAGATCTCAGCACGAACACAGAAGACCCATTTTGTATCTACCCGTCAACTTACGCCATCTGTAGCGTAGTTGTGATATTCTGCCGGCTATGGACCAAAGGACGTCTGTCTCTGTCTGTCTGTCTGTTTTCGACATAGAACTTTGCACAAATGTGCGGAAGTTCAAGTCGCCACATTCCGTGTAGCACGCGAAGCAAGAGAAGAAAGTACAAGAAAAGCATAATGGAAACAGTGAGCAGAGGTGTGAGACAAAGGAGGAGTAATAACGAAGAACAAAACAGTTTCATTGAAGATCATAAGTCACAGGGAGTGGATGCATCTGCGCCACTGAGAACGATTTTGAGCCATGTCACCAATTGTTTCCAACCATAGATTTTTACCGTCCCAAGGACCCCAACCAGTCAGGAAGTCTACACCTTCCTACGTGGCTTAGACCAACTGTTGTGGATTTCATTGACTGGTGCCAAGTTTTTGTTTGACCGCCGCTAGCTTTTTTCCAGCCTGACCCTATATCCGCTAACATAGCTCGTCGAGGGAGGCGATGGCTTGGCATACGTAACACATGTCCTAACCATCTCAGTCTTTGTAGCTTCACGACTTCGTCGATTTATTTCCCCTGTTTACCTAGAACTCTACGCCTAACCTCCATGTTGCTCACCTTATTATACTACTTCAGACGGGAGATAGAACACAGGCACCTATGATCAAAGACAGCTAGTCTTTTCATGTCTTCCACTCTGAGTGGCCAGGTCTCACAACCATAAAGGAGGACTGATGAGCAGTACACCCGCCCTTTGGTCGATAGTTGAACATCTCGTCTACGCCAGAGTCGGCGTAAACTGGCAAATGCGAAACGAGGACGTCTGTACTGCTCAGTAGTTTACTCCGTCTTCCTTGATGGGTGGCTGTGAGACTTGGCCATTGATGAAGAAAACATAATAAGACTAGTTGTCTCTAATTGCAGGTGTCTGTGTTCTGTCTCCCGTCTTAAATGTTATACTATGGCGAGTAATATTGAGACAAGGGTTCTGTTAAGCACTAAGTAAAGAGGGAAAATCAATCGACTAGGTTATGGAGCTACATCGATGGAGATGCTTAGGACACTTGTTACGTATGCCTAGCTTTCATCGCCTTCCTCTAAGGACAAAATAGGGTGGTTCATGTTTGAAAAGAGAAAGCTAAGGGCGGTTAACTAAAACATTTTTAATCAGTCAGTGAAATCCATAACAACTGTTAGTTCACGCCAGCCACGTAGTTAGTTGTAGATAACCTGATTGGTTGGGTTCCTCATAATGATGGTAAGAACCAATGAAGGGTGGCGACATGTGACTCAAAATGATGGTTGTCAATGTCAGCGCAGATGTATTCACTCGCTGCGATTTGTTATATCGAATAAAATTTTATTCTTTTTCCATATTACTATTCTTTTTTCCCTCACTCACACTTCTGTTTATTATCTGTCTCTCTCTTTTGAATGTCTCTTTACTTGGTTCTCATGATTTTTTGTGGTGCATGAAGATAGTTTGACAACTGAAACTGATTCACATCTGTGCAAAGCACTATGTTGAAACGAGTCAGTCAGTTTTTCCTAGATACTTTCATATCATATTAGTTTGTTTATTAGATTTATCACACAGAGAGTGAAACAGTATTATTTACTGGGTGACACAGTTTCGAACAAAATGTATTGTTCATAATCATTTCATCAATTATAATCACACGACTTTGAGACTTGAGTTTTATAGTTTTCTTTGTCTTCTCCTATTTGTCGTCGTCGGGGTAGTAGAATTTTCCAGATATCTGCGATACCCGGATAAATTAGTCAGGAAATATGTAAGGAAATGTAAAAATACAATAAATAATGATAGTAGTGATAGTGGTAATAATAATAATTTTAATAACGACACCAACAACAAGGAATCTAAATCATCAGTAGTAATCCCATATAAGGAAGGAACCTCGGAAACCTTACGCAGAGTTCTTAACAAGGCAGGAATTAAAGTGGCATTCAAACCCACAAACTCAATTAGAAACAAGCTTTGTCGGTTAAACGATCAATCCTGTGGAGCCTTTAAAACAAAACAATTTAGTTTATCTAATACCCTCCCTGCAATGATTGTCAGGTCAAATACATAGGTCAGACTAGTAGAACAGTGACAGTCAGACTAGCCGCGCATAAAGATCTAGCGAAATCTAGATTAGTTGACCCAAATAAGATAAGAAATCTGGAAAATAGTTCAGCCATAGCATTACATGCAATCACACAACCATACAATAGGATGGGATAAGATGACAGTTTTAAAATCTCATGTACCAGGGTGGAAGGAGAGATTGATGAAAGCGGAAGCTTTGTTGATCGAATAAACTGCAAATGCATGTAATAGGAATGATTCTACACCTGTCCAGTTGGAGATCTGGAAAATTCTACTACCCCTACGACGACAATTAGGAGAAGACAAAGAAAACTATAAAACTCAAGTCTCAAAGTCGTGTGATTATAATTGATGAAATGATTATGAACAATACATTTTGTTCGAAACTGTGTCATCCAGTAAATAATAATACTGTTTCTCTCACTGTGTGATACATCTAATAAACAAACTAATATGGAATTACTTATTACCACCACAGTGCCCAAGTTTTACACATATATTAATATGACTTTCATATCGTATACCACTTATATTATTTTCGTCGGAGATTATCCTCTTCCTTGTTTATTATTCTCCTTGTTAATATTTACACCAATATACTTCTGTTTATTTATTTCACTGTATTGTAATAGTTTTAGAAGAGGGGTTGTATTATTATATACATCCTATATGCTAAATACTTCTCTTATAGCTATAGCTTACTAGCTGACATGTATGGGGTGATAGTAAGTAAGAAAACAAGCAAGACAGAAAAAGAGGTCAGTTTATATACGCATTGTATGCCCTGAAACGGTCATTTCATCATTACTACAATGGAGCCATTTTTTGATGTGTACATAACATTATTATACTATTTATTGATTTTGTTTTCATTATCGTTAACACTGTAACGGTCGTTATCATTAATAATAATAATAATAATAATAATAATAATATTCGCTATTCTAATATTCTCCTTCGCTTCTTCTTCTATCTTTAGCTATTATTGAAAGCCATCTAATAAATTTACAGGCTATTTATCCAAAAGTACAAAATATCCCACACATGAAGAAGGTAGGCCATGTGTATGTGTGTATATATATTTTATTTTTCTAAAATATACCACTTTGTTTTTTTGACCTTTTCGGCTATTGTTTCTTAATTTCGTATTTTTGAACTTTATTATTATTAAATCTAGGATTAGCTTCGAGAGATGTGCGCCATATCAATGAGTATTTAAGTTATTTTCCTAATTTTCTATAGTTTTGGTTTGTAAGGATTAGTTATGTTTTACGAGTTGATCACGGATTGATATCAGTTAGAGAAGCATTGAAAACCAGAGAGTACTGGACAGCTGCTGTTTCATCCTAGTTTGGGAATCATCGGCAGTACGCACCTAATGTTAGATAAGTTTATTATTATGCAGTATTGGTAACTGGATGATATTTCGAACACAATTTATTGCCTATAATTATATCAATGTATTCGCACGGCTTTATAATTTGTCGTATATATATATATATTGTTTGTTTTCACTTTCCACATCTCTAATATAGTTGTTTCGTCATTCGGATTACACGTAGACGTAGAATGAATGGCTCTGTGCATCAGTGGCACAATGGTTAGGACTCTCGCCGACTATGCACATGGTCCGGAGTTCGATCCCCAACCGACGCACACCTGATATTTATGGTCGGCCTGCAAAATTTTGGCTACCGATATCACATGCTGGAAATTCCATATTTGTACCAAAAATACGGTGTGGAAATAAGCTGTAGTCAAAAAAAATAAGTAAATAAATAACTTAGGAAAAAAGCTTAGCCATTGCACTGCAATCACACAATACTTGGTGAGTGGGCAAGAGTGAAAGTATTAAAAAGTAATTCAGTTCGATGGGGGTAGACAAAGAGAGAGTGGTTAATCATTTGAGCTTTGTTTTTGTCGATTCATCTCCTCAGGTGTACAATTCGAAATGACACGACGGCTATACCAGAGATATGGGAAGTGGTAACAAACAACAAGGGGGAAATGAACAGAGAGAGAAAGGAAAAAAATACATGCGGCAAATTTTGAAATCGTGTGACTAAAATTGATATGATTGAGTGGCGATAATTTGTGTTCCAAACCTTTTCATCCATTACTGCATCACTGTGTGCTATTTAATATAAGCTTGTCTAATATGGAATAAGCCATATATCCGCTTCATCTGATGACATACCTATTGTTTGGGTAGTTATGCATTTAGTTTTCACAGGAGAACCAAACATTCGTATGTTGTAATCCCTCATCCTGTGAACTTGGCCACAAACGATGTCCAAATCATAGGTTTCCAGACCGTAGGTGTTACGAACTTCCAGATCACTTTGATCTATCCTGTACGCGTTTCTGGTTGTTGACGAAAGTTCTGGTGTGTACGGCATCCTACTCATTTGTGCTAGCTTCCTTAATTACTATCACATAATGTGGTGGGTTGGTATGACCTCCAATAAAACTAGTAGATTTGAGAGTCTACTAATGTAAGTGTAGAACTTGGGCATTGTGGTTGGATGTAATTCCATAATCAGGTAAGTTTATTTTAAATATCACACAGTGATGATGCATTATTACCAACTGGATGACAACGTGTCGAGCATAAATTATTACCATTCATAATCATTTCAATTTTAGTCATACAGCTTCACACTTTGTCTTATCTATAAGAGAAAATATCTATATTTTCTCTCTTTCTTCACCTCTCCCTTGTTGTATGTTTCCACTTTCCATATCTCTGTCACAAGCGTTGCGTCATTTCGAATGTACGTGTGTGGTGTTGAATCGATAAACAAAGCTTCAACCTCTACTTCTCTCTCTCCATCTAACTGCATTACTTTTTAATACTGCACTCTGTCCTACCCACCCACCATGAATTGTGTGATTGCAGTGGAATGGGGCTGAGCTTTTTTTCTAGATTATTAAACTCAGCAAAGTCAATCATTCTAGTTCTAGTTTTATTTTTTTGTTATATGTTCCAATAATCTAATTGACCTCCAATCTATTGGTTTGACCTATATGTAATTGTGACCTTACAGTCATTATATTTATTTAGTAAATTATATTGTTTTTCGTAATTGTATCATCTATCGGATCTTTAAGCTGATAAAGTTAGTCTCTGAATAAGTTCTTTTGCTGGTTTTAAATATCACTCTAATTCTAGCCTTATTAAGAATCCTAATGTGTCAAGACTTCGATAAACGATAGGGAAATAATATATATATATATATATATATATATATATATATATAATATAATTATGAAGCCGTTTAAATGAATATATTGGCATTATGATTATGAACAGGAATAAATTAATGCTGAAAACTTCATTCAATTACTCATACTGTATCACTGTGGATGTTATGTAGGATAAACTTATCAGATATGGAATTATACTGCACCAGAGTGTCCGAATTTTACTCGTACATTACTTCCTTGATGTTAATTGGGCAGCGATGTTAAAGGAACGAAACCTCCTAATAAATAGACATAGTGGCCTTGAGCAGCCACCAATGAGAAGTGTCTGTGGTATATATTGGGCGGAATTATAAATGTTGTACACGAATTACGTGGTAGATTTCATTCAAATATAGTATATCAGTAATGTTTCGATAACCTGCTCATAGGAAGGGAGAATATATTTAGGTGTGAAGAAGTGATGCATTTATTTACGTAGATACACAGTCTTTACTAATGAGTTCATGTACAGAGATGCGCAGACTGCAGCAGCAGAAAATCGGTTGAATTTTGTTAGTCTTTTTTTGTGGGACTCACACGAATGCCGTCGAAAATTTATGGAGTCACTTAAAAAAGAGGATTAGAGCAGTGAATAGTGTAAGAAATATGATGATTTATAGTTATGTGGACGAATTTATGTACTGAAGTTGGTTTGGCCTATCTATGAGGACTCCAAAGAGAAGATTAGGCGTGTGGCTAGCAACCTCACTACTAAAACTTTAAAACTCAAGCTTGGAACCCTGTGTTTCATTCAGAAAGCAAAGAAGTAGTAATAGTTGAAAATCAGCGAAGTAGTAGACAGATGCTTTGTCGTAGCTTGAGGCTTTTCAACAGTCCCTATCCATGTCCCCAGACCGAAGATGGGATTCTGGACCTTCAGGTTAAGAAGCAAGGACGTTACCCTCTAACCATTGAGTCAATGAAATCCAACTCGATGTTTGGTTGAATGATCTACAGGTGTGCCTCACACTGGCGTTTGTTTTCAATGCGTCTCTAACTGATGTCAGTTTTATGATGAAATGGAATAATTCACTACAAATTAACCTTAGAAAAAGGCACTTAGTTTTTATAAACTTGTTTGCTGGATTGAAGAATTAGTTGGGGGATAACTGTCCCAGCAGTTTTCATGGTATACGTCTAATTAAAGTTTGTTATTATTAATATTATTATTATTGTAATCTCATTATCAGAAGTACTTTTAAGCGGAGTGGTGGCAAAAGGCATACTTAAGATCCTTCAGATAATGAATACTATTCACAGATATCTAAAATGTAAAGCGAATCCACAGATGCGTATGCGTGTGTGAATTTTGAGAATCCACCTACTTATAATCAAATTAGTTGATTTTTCTAGCAGTCAGGACATTTTAGGCATGACGTTCCTACTTTTCTCCAATTAACTACGTATAAGGTCTAATGTTAGACTGCAAATCAGACATACTATCAGAAATATTGATTCTTCGAATTAGGTAGTATATCTGTCCCTGATTGATTTTCATGCATAACCAAGTCCGTATCTTGATCTTGACACCGTGGTGGTAGGGATTCTAAATCTCGATGATTCAAAGATCCATACTAGCTGGAAAGAATTCTCCTTCAGGTCGTATCATTCCATACAGGTTGGTTTGGATAGAGGTTAGACTAAAAGCAGTTACCACCATATAGTTAGGGTCTACTGGCGAATAGGAATGTAAAAATAGTGATGTGTTTCTGTCAGGTAACTAGCAAGTCTGCTATACTATACACTGACTCTCCACTTTATAGTGAGATGAGGTTAGTAGCGCCAACCAGAAAAGAAAATGCATATCTCAACCTACCGTGCCAATGGTTCGTAGCTGTTGGTGAGTTCTTCATACCGACTCAACTTCAAGAAGCACTTTAAACACTCAGATTGTGTGACTAGTCGCAATTATTTATCCCTAATTCATACAATCAAGTCCTACTTCACTTCTTTTAACTCATCTTGTTGTGGTCGGAGTTGCTTACTGAAGTATTCATTGACTTTCCTGTAACCAGTTACAGGACCATTGAGAAACCAGCCAAGGAGTACTGGACAGCTGTTTCATCATAATATGGTATGCTCACTGGCGATTAACCCTATTCATTTAGGTAGTAGTTAGTCGGGTGTTCTAGTGGGAAGTCGTGACCAGTGAGCTGCATCAGGTCGTATGTGAGGACAAATACTCGCCAGCGATGACAATGACTAGTGGTCGCGGTATATCGTGAACCAGCAGAATTTAGAATTCATGGACTGGTCATTGAGAGTTGGGACCCAGTGTCTGAAAATGGTCTACGAGCTTACCTTTTAAACAGAAAAAGATCTGGGTGCGTACTGATGAAGAGTTCGAAACTAGGACGAAAAAGCTGTCCATGACTCCCTTCTGGTTTTCCAGTGTCGTAGCTCTTGGTGAAATCCTGCATTCACTGACTTGTTTTGAGCAATTCTAATCTAGCTAGTATGTCTGTCTATCTATCTGTGTATTTATCAATCCATCTCTTTCATTAATTATTGCCGCGATCTTTTCCAAAATCAGGTTTTATAAATCATAACTCCCTTTTTTTTCTTGAACATTCCTATTTTTTTGCATAGCCTGAAATAGCTAATCCAGTTCTGCTGCCAGGTGAAATTGCCATACCAATCGGTGGTTATGATTGTTTATCCTGTCAACTCTTACCAGATGGACGTTATGAACGTAGTGATTATCAGTTATTAGATCCTTTGACAAATATTACGGCTTCTACTAATGGTGTTAATGGTAGTGATAACATGGCAGATAATACTACTAATAATAATAATAACAACAACAATAACAGTGGTAAACAAGATTCAATTGGAAATAATGAAACAGGTGATATCGAGGTGGATATTATGCTTAGGCCATTATTACCTGCTCAAGGTGCATTATTCATTACAAATTATCGAATAATATTTACTGGTGTACCAAAAGATCCATTTCGTAAGTTTTTAGAGTACAAATATTTATTTATACTGTGTATGCGCATTACTTGCAATGATCTTGGATCGTTTTTTTTGGAGGGGGGGGGGTTGCGTTTTTTCCTATTCCAATCACGATATTTACACTTCTTTTTACACGGTTTGAACATCATTCATAGCTAGCCTTATCTTAGCTTCTGTGTTGTTTAGGCACTGATTGATTAAGTTTCAACATAAATCTTTGCATAGAAGTACAAAACTTCAAGTCGCCACACTCCACATGGCCAACAAGTGTGTCGGTAGTACAGTGGTATAATGCTCGCTAACCACACATGTCGTTCCGGGGTTCGATTCCCGACTGGAGTATCCCCTTACTTTGCTAAACCGGTGATAAGACCAGTTAAGGAGCGAAGGTTGGACATGAGGCTAGCAATCCCACCCCGTAAAACTAAAAAGCATTGCTACCGAGACTTCAGAGCTCGAAAGAATAAGGTGGAAAAATATGATTATTTAATGTGTCTATGAGAACCACAAGGAGTGGAAGCATCTGTGCCATTAAGGACGATTTTGAGCCATCTCACTCATAGTCTCCATCCATTAGTTTTTAGCATCTTGAGAACCTTAATCAGTCACATCTCCCTGTATGGCTTAAACCAATTGTCAAAGATTTCATGGATTGATGAGGGAATTTGCTTTAACCACCTTAAACTCTTCTCCGACCCAAACTTATGTCAGCGAACATTGCTGAACGAGGAAGGCGATTGCTTCGTATGTATAACACGTATCCTAGCAATCTCAATCGATGACTCCAAAATTGAATTATCAGCGTAGAATTGTCGTTACAGAGACTGAATATAGAGGTAGGGATGAGTAATGCAGTGGAACTATTGATAATCGTAAATGTACAAGAGAAAGAATAATAACTACATGAAGGTTAACCGGAACTGATTGATTGCAAAGGTCTAATGTAGGAAATCCTTCTGCGGCATTGAGAATAACTTTGAATCATTTCACTAAAAGTCTCTTCACGCATAATCTTTATCGACAGGCAGAATATTTTGCAAATCTAGTGATATTGTGGCATGTCCTATTGATAAGATTTATCAGTAGTATATAAAGAGACGTTCATTGGCATAAAAACATCACATAGCAAGGAGATAGATTTGATGTCAGAGAAAGCATATGATAAAGCGTTGCGGAGATACATGGGAGACGTGAAAGAAACACAAAGAAATACAATAAGAGGGAAGGGCAGAAGTAGCACAACACGGAAGATCTGTACAAATGGTGCGTTGAAGATAAGGTGTACATAATCCCTTTAAAAAGTCTTTCGTCTCCTACCGTTAAGAATTTTCTGCGTCATCTATAGTATTGAGTGAATGATGTATCACAGTTGACTCATTAGAACATTCTTTGTTTATGCACACCAGTATTCATTCTCAATTGATAGCGCTTTTTGTTGGGTAATGGCTGGGTAAGATGGCTATAACGCGCACGTTTTTCACTAAGATATATACTGAATACCCTGTTAATTTACTCAAAATTAAGTCAATCTTTATTTTTATCAATCGACGAGGTTGTAAAGGTACATCGTTTGAGATCGTTTGGACATGTGTCACGCATGCATTCCTAGTCATCGATCACCTTCCCTGGCAGTCAATGTTAGCTGACTGACATTGGATCAGGTTAGAAAAGAGATAGCTAGTGGTAGTCAAACGGAGACATAGCTTCATCAGTCAGTGAAATCCACAACGACAGTAAGTCTGAGCTAGCCAGGTAGCCACGTAGGGAAGTGTAAACTTCCGGACTGATTGGTTGGGGTCCTCGGGATGGAAAGAACTAATGAAGACTGGAGACAATTGATAATATGGCTCAAAGTGATTGTTGTCAATGGCTGGCGCAGATGCATTCACTCTTTGTGCTTAATCATATCTAATAAAACTCTATTGTTCTTCCATATTACTATTCTTTTTGCCTCACTCACACTTCCGTATATTATGTGTCTCTCTTTTGAATATCTCTTTACTCTCTTCTTTAACTTTATGTGGTACATGAGGGGAGTTTGGCAACTGGAACTGGTTTACATCTGTGTGAAGTTCTATGTTAAAATTAGTCAGTCAGAATCTTTGTATCTTGAATAGTTGTTCTTTACCAGTTGTATTACTGGCTTAATGAGGTAAAGGGAATGCGTCTGCCGGGCAACGCACCCTGGGCGATATGTGTGGTAAGCGAGCATTACCGTTGTGCCACGACGCAGTGTATATAAATATGTATATATATAATTGTAGAACCGGAAGAGGAAATTATCGAAAAGAATATTCTTCGCTCAATTTTTTTAGTATAATGTGTTATAATTACAGTATCCATGTATATCATTATTATTTTGTGTCTGATTTGTAGGCGTAAATTGCACTCACTATCATTCCTAGTACTCCTAATGGAACATAAGGTTTCTAGCTTGGAGTTGTGGCACTATTGCTAGCTTCACACCCAAGATCCCCTCTTTTTTGGAGTTATCACCGGTTAAGTGGGCTTCGCGATTGCATCGACCGAGAATGAAACCTGGACCCTAGCGAGCCTTCTGTGACTAACCTACAGGCACAAAATAAAGTACAGTAATTCTGACTTAAATTACGGAAATCCCTTTTGAAAAATCTTGACTTTTTTTCTATCTTTTCCTTGTGTTGTTTAGAATCTAATAAAGTGATCAATCGAAGTTTTCCAATCTCTGCGCTGAGTGGCATAAAAAAACTTGGATGTGTTCAAATGATTACAGCCTTCCCTTCATCATCATTAGCGAATCCAGCTACACTGACAACAATGACACCTATATCTGGTTTTCGTTCAGCAACATTATTTGTTAGTAATAAAAAGTTAAAAGCGAATACCATGCAGTCGAAAAGTTCATCACAAAAATACCTGTCCTCATCAGCATCACGTACGACGTATACATCAGCAACAGGAGCAGCCGGAGCAGCGGCGGCGACAACAACCACTACAAATCGTCATGGTGTCATGTATCGTACAGAGAATTTAGATGTTATTTTACTACGTGCATTAACTTTTCAAATGTTAAAAATTGGCTTTGATATCGGTGAAGTACAACAAGAGACAAGAGAGGAATTACGCAGTCTACTTGAAGAACTGCGTTATCCGTCTATGCTTTGTATGGGATTTAATTCAGCCCCCTTGGGTTTAATTCTATCAAGAAGTAATAGTAGTAGTGCAGATCTACATTCAGCTGGGATGCACAGTGGTGAATCGCATCATAAAGCGTCTATGCCGCATGGATTGTTACGTATGCGACATTTGAAGAGTAAAACTAATCGAAATAGTGTATTCGGTGATTCAAGCTATTCTGCAATCATGGATCGAGAACGCAGGTATTTGAAATTCAGGTCACTAGAAGTTTTTTTCTTTATTTTTGTTGTTGTTGTCGTTGATTTATTCACTGAATTTTTCTATATATTGTATTTATTTCTGCGTCGTTGAATAATATTATGAACAAGCGATTGTGTGTGTTAAAGTTCCGTTGACAGTCAGTCTTTTATTCGTATGCTCTTCTCAGTCATATTCCACAGGTGGAGTTGAGCATTTCACGTATACATTATAACAATTTGGTTTCACTGCATATTATTATTATTGTTCCCTTGGGTTCCTAGTGGAACATGGGGCTTCAACTGCACGTCTCCACTTGCTTCTGTCTTCTACTGCTGTGCTTTTCACCTGCATCCATCCATGTTAGTCCATACTGTTTCAACTCACCTCTTCACAAGATCTCCTCCATGTCACCCTTGCACTGACATCCCACTCGCCGCTTCCCTTTCGGCCTAGTTCCACTCGAGGAATAGCCTGACGCGCGATGTCCCTTAGCGACCTCCTCCTCAGCGAATCTCCAATCCATCTCCATCCACTTTCTCCTGCATATTTGTTGGTTGGCGATTGGTTCTTGTTTTGTTTGTTTGTTCCCATAGTTTCTTGTTGGTGATTGTTTCCGGCCCGGCCATCTGATTTTCAGTATAGAGCCAGCGAAGACAGTTGTCGATAAAGGTCAGCATGCAACAGGCTGTTGGAAATATTCTTTGTGACCCGCCCGCCAAGTTTCTGATCCGTATAGAAGAATTGACTGACTTGACGTTTGTATTGAAAATCCGACCGAATTTTGTTGATGCTGAGTGACGAAGATCTCCAAATTGGTTTCAGTCAGGTTGATGAATGTGTTTCTCGCTCGCCTTCCCGATTCTCGCTCGATTTGACATCCTTGTCCATTCCGACTTCCTGTAGTTGAGACAATGCTCCCTAGATAAGTGAATGAAGTAGGTAACCCCTTTCAAATCCCTCCCGTTGATGGTGATTGGCGCTGGATGTTGCTGTTGTTGGTGGTGTTGGACTGCTTATTTTCATAATCTCCGTCTTGTCTACGTTCACCTATAGCTTGCTATAGCTTGGGCAAGAAGAAGTGCGCACAGCAGAATATTACAACCTAGTGTAACAATTAAGTTCACTTATCTATAGGAAGTATTGTTTCAACTACAGACGACAACACTGATGAAGATGTCACAGCTAGACAGAATTGGAAAGGCAAAATACACTTTCATTAATCTTAAATCGGTGTGGAAATCTTCTGCACTCAGCAGCATAAAGGACAAGTTGGGATTTTCAACACCGATGTAAAGTCAATCAGTCAGTTCTTCCAAATGGGCCAGGAAATTGGCTCACACGTCACGAAAGGAATTTCCAACAGGCTACTGTACACTTTTATTAACACCTGCCTTCTGTGACTGCTTATTGAAAAACAAATGACCAGCCAGAGAGGATTGGCAGCAAGAAACTATGGGAACAAAACTGACTAAGAACCTATCACGCTACAAATATGTAGAAGAAAGTGGAGATAGATTCAACATACTCTGAATAACTTCGTGCGCTAGGCCTTCGAGTTGAAGCCGAATAGGAAACGACTGGGTCGTCCTAGGGTGACATAGAGATCGTGCGGGGAGCAGATCGGAAATCATGGGCAAATGTGGGCCCAGCGTAGAAGGACCGCAGAGGATTGGACAAATGGGGGAGACGTGCTGTTGAAGCCTTATGTCACAGTCGGCACCAAAAGGAACAATAATAATAATAAGAGCTATGTTAGTAAGGGAATACCAAATAAAATGGTAAGCATTGATACTTAGTAGATCCGCAAGATCATGGTTGCTACGTATTGCAATCGTGAACTGTGTTTCGGCAGTGTTTTGGATCACCAATCCACATCTACGGATCTCGTGATGCACCAGCGTGTATCTACTCCAACTTTTGAATACCGTTCTTAGTACATCATAAGTAATCTGACATTTCAAAATGGTAATGGTTAAATTGTAATCTTCATCAATGTCGAATACCTACTGCCCACTAGCCTCCAGGTATAAGTGTGAATCAACACTTGGTCAGTCACCTAACACCTGTAATCCATTTAGGCCAAACGTCATGGAAGCTGAGCAGAATTGTATGCACAGGAAAGTTGTATACCTGACCTTTAACAACGGCTGGCCAAACAAAGAGAGGTGATGTAGATTTTTATGTGTTTCTCTACTATACACATCTGAACGATGGCTGTTTTACATGTCCGCACAACTACCTAGATATACAAACTTCTAAAATCTCACCCGCATATTTAATTATAGACAAAGATTCCTACATGTGCCAGCTGATTAGATTCACTTTTTAATATTAATAATAACACCTTTATTCTGGATGGTATTTATAAAATGTACAGAATTTTTAGAGGAGTTTATTGCATGATAACTTTCCTCTCTTCGGACAATATCTCCAAGTAAAATATTAATTAATTGACAGTATATCCTCCTTCCTGTGACACAATGAACTCTCTGAGCTGATGAAGCACAAATCATTCCATTATGTGATATATATCTGCTTCGTCTCCTTCAAGAGATTCACGATATCTAGTTGAAAGCTAATTGTAAGATGTTTAGTAGTACATTTTGAGACCCAAGGACACAAATCAAGAACAGTTATTCTCATGTTGTATTGGAACACGTTGCCACACCCCCAATCACGCCATTCCTCAAGTTTAGTAGGAAATTGTGAATCAGGATAATACCATTAGAGGTCATATCTTAATTGATTAAAACAAACAGAGAAAATACCTGCAGTAGAGAGATGGAAGGTTTTGGTAGTCCAGGTTTTAAGCAGGCTACCACTCATCCAGCCTGTTAATTTACAGCAGCTTGTATGTTATCGCACCGTTAGACAGACATCATTTAAACAAACTAGAATCGTTTTTCACGAGTTATAAGAAGCCTAAAAGACCTCCCTCCAGTCATCTCATTGTTTGGTGTGATGGGAGTACTGTTCATGACCCAGCCTTTAAAGAGAAGTGGGGAAATTGAACAACATTACTGAATTTTGAAACAATGGTGGATGATTTAGCTGTATGTTTTCAGTCTGTCTTAGGTGTTCTTAACTATGTCCTTACAAATAGTACAGTTAGCTTTTTGACTCTCAGAACATAATCCATTCATAGGCTTAAATAAATTGTGTGTTGACCTGCTGCCTTATAAAGCCTCAATTGGTAGATCAATGGTATCTGCTCTTGTAGTTGCTATACTTTAGGGCTGAGATCGCTGAAGTAATACATCATATCAGTTGGTTTTGAAATACTCTATGAAGCTTTCTACCTATTTTTTTTTTGATTGCTGGATTGTCGTCTAATTCACTTCACACACTGTCCTGCTAACTTGATGCTTTCTGCTATCGGTCTGGATAATCCAGAATCTCTCCCAAATCGTGTGTGTGTGTGTCATAAACGATGGGAATATTTCCTTTATGAATTGTAGTCACTAGACCTCTCATTCTTTTCGTAGAATGACGCTGTGGAAATCCTTTTTGTGTGCTGTGTACCAGTATAGGGGGGGGGTGTTTTTTTTTAACCACAAATGAATTTTTCTTGACACTAGTTTTCTCTTGCGCCTGCTGAATGATGATCAAGTAGATTTTAATCTAACTGTGTTCAATAAGCTATTTCAGTACTAATCGCATTTCTACTGTGTTTGCCAACCCTAAGTTGGCTGGAGTTTGAATACTTACTCCATCTAATATGCATTCATGCTATCTGTATGTAGCTAGTCCCCAGTCTAAGTATGGTTGCTAATGGAAGGAAGTCTTGCAAGACGGCAGTTATGGTTGCACCAGAGAGTACTGATGCCTGTACGCGTGGTTTGTATTCTACTCAAAAGGATTCAGCAAACTGGATGAGTAAGGACAAATGAAATGTTTCTTTAGACTGTGCGTCGGTGGCACAGTGGTTAGGACTCTTGCCGACCATGCACATGGTCCGAGGTTTGATCCCCTGCTGACGCACACCTGATATGTATGGTCGGCCTGCAAAATTTGAGCTACCGATATCCATGATGAAAATTCCATACTTGTACCAAAAATATAGTGTGGAATCAAGCCGTAAATCAAAAATAAAATAAAAAATTATGTCGACTGTTGCTGATGAAATAATAAACATCTTCTTGTAAAGGATATATGCATTCCTACATCAAAGATTCGTTATTTATCGTTATCACGATTAAGCACTACATATATCTCCTATTGTGCCACAATTCCAATTCTCCAGCCTATTGTCAGTTAATCTCTATTGACCGACCACACAAATGACTCTTTCTAGTGTTAAGTGCCGAATCTTTTTATTATTCACTTCAACAGGTTGTATTCTTATAACCGTAGAGAGAGAGAGAGAGAGGAAGAGAGACAGAACTACATTGTTAATGGCTTCTGATTGATTGCTTAGCAGAATAGATCTTCAACCACATTCATACGGAACTCTTTCGTGTGCGTGAGTGTTGAAGTGACAATGAAATGCAGTCTTTAACTAACAAGCATGACTTAATGCCAAATGAACCTATTTGGTTTCACAGTATATAAACCCTTGTTGATTGGGGGTTCACTTAATTTTTACGTCCTGGACTCTCAATGGAACTTCATGCGTTTACTCCCCTTGATGAATTTGAATAAAGCACGAACAACAGTGTGGTTTGTGCAGAATAATATGGTACCATCTTTTGTTTATTTCGTTGGCTTCTTATCAGCCCAGCTGCTTACAGCCTAAATAAATTATGAGGTTTAAGTACAGAAACGTTTTAACATACTTGCAAATTTTACATGTTGTCAGTTGACAGAAAGTTCCCTAGTTAGTCATCAGTGCTCAGAAAATTGCGCTTATATAGTTTTTACACAGGCAGTTCAAGTTTAAACAAAAAAAGTAAATGTATGCACATAATGGTAAAGGAGTTGAGTAATAAAGATGAGATATGCGTTAGATGCATAGTGACTAATAAGTAAGGTAACAATATACTGAGTTGAACTCAAATCATAGAAATAAGAGACAAGCAAAATTATAGATTATAAAAGCAGGGTGAGGTTAAAGACAAAGATCACGTAATCAAACAAAAGAGACAGAAAAGACATCCAGTTACCAAGTGGGCAAACAAAGTCTGATAACTGCTTCTTTCTGAACACATAAATCTGGTTTCAAGCGTTTGATAGAAATAGCTTCGGCAAACTTCAGAAGAATGGAACTCCTTTGTCTATTGATAATTTTGAAGGATTTCTTGATTTCCACTTCATGACGCGTGTCGAGGAGATGTCTGGTAAAAGCGTTACTACAAGAGTTTGTTCCCTTGAGACATAGGCTTTTCGGCACATGTTGATGAACTGATGAGAAGCCAACGAAATGAGCAGTGATGGTATCATATTATTCTGCACAAACCACTGTTGTTCTTGCTTTACTCTCAATGGAGTTGAAAATATCCTAGGTTACACATAGGGATGTTTAATTCTCTTTCTATGGTTACTGCGGCGACATTTGTGTAATGTTTTTGAGTTTTTGTCCTCAAATATTTTAATTGAAGCGGTGAGCATTCACATTTAAAACTGTACTCGTAAGAAAATCATCAACTCATAGAGGTAACTCCTAGTGTACACTTATTTTGATTATTTCGATGTTAAGAATCAAGAGTTGGTATAACATTACTTACATATGGCGGCGTGCTTAAAACTAGGGCTGCCGAAAACCTCCATCAGTATACTGCATATAGTTTCTTCTGTTCTCTTTGTTTAAATCTATTAAAGTATGATCTTCAATAGTATTGTTTACTCTGGCGAGTATTTCAAACATTATCGACCTACTGATTGGCAAGTTTCTGCTAAACAGGAGAAAAACTATTATCCTAACACATGAAATGACCGTTTCTGAGTGGTGTCCTTGGTTCACAAAATGTATTCCTGAACCTTTTGTAATTGGTGCTCAACCATACACCATGTATTTCTCGAAGGATAAGATGAGACATCATAAGTGGGATTGGTTTGTGCTTCAGGTCAAGTAGAACTGTGACACATGATCTACTGTCAGTTTATCTTTTATTTGAAGGTTTTGGACGAAGAGAAAATATTATGCTATAAGCTTCGCTGAAAATTCTGTACACTACATACAGTTTCAGAATAAAGCTGTTCCTATTATTATTATTATTATTATTATTAAGAATATACATTTACCTTATTTGTTTTCGTTTAGACGAACATATAATACCCCACCATCTGTTAACACAGGTGGTACCGTTCGTTCACCTCCGTTGTCTCCTCGTTCTCCTAGAAGTGGTCGTTATAATCAAGTAAACTATCTGCCTACTTCGAATTTCCCTAATTGTAAGTTTCCTAATACATTCCAACTATATTTGTACATGTTATAATTTTTTATGTATCACCTATTGTTATCATTGTTATTCCCGTGTGTTCTGAGTGGAACATAGGGCTTCTTCAGCAGCATTATATCCCCACTTCACCCTGTTCTCTGCAGTTATTTTTAGTTGACTCTACGATTTCCCATAAGCTTGTATTTCCTCTGTGTCGCTACTGTTCAACTCCCGTCCAATTTGTTCTGTTTCCAAACTCTAGTTCCACTTGAGCGAGCGGTGGCTTGGCGCATAGTTTCACTCACAAGTTTCCTTAACATGTGTCTGATGTATCTCCATTTTATTCGGTATATATGTGTTGGGCAATAGGTTCTTGGTTGGTTCGTTGCTATTAGTTCCTTCTTGCTGATCCTTTCTGACTGGTTATTTAATCTTCAGTATCGAGGTAGAAAAAGGAGTAGGCGTTGGAAATGCTTTCGGTAACGTGTATCCTAAGTCTGTGAAGCATAGTATAATTATAGTAGCAGCGATTGACTTTACGTAAATGTTGAAAATTCTCATCGTGTTCTACATTGCACTGAGTAATAGCAGATTTCCTTCCATACTTATTTCGCAAAAATGAAGGTGTTTATCTTGCTTTTTTTTCGATCCTACCTGGCTTTGACATCCTTATCTGTGTAATTAAAAATGATGTTACCTTAAAATAAATCCACCATTGAATTAGTTGTGTTTGTTCTATGAGGAGTAGCTGGTTGATTTAGTTGTAGAGCTTTCATTTATCTTCCGGACAACATCTTCAGCGCACGTTTTTATTATAATATGAAATCATTCTCTATGAATAATGTAATTGTCTATAGTTGGTTTGTAAGGATTAGTTTTGTTTTTACGAGTTGATCACGGATTGATATCGGTTAGGGAACTATTGTAAACCACTATGGAGTACTGGACAGCTGCTCTTTCATCCTAGTTTACGAGTCATCAGCTCAGTACGCACCCATCACAGGCGGTTCAAATCCAGGACCTTCCGGTTACAAGACAAGTTGGCTCGTCTAACATTCTGCCACTGGGACCCGATTCAGAGGCCAACGCATGAATTACAAATTCTAACTTCGACCAATTCGTGATTTAACACGGCCCCAACCAATTTCGTCCGTGGAACATCCAACCTCACACATGACGTCTGGATAGACCTCACTGGTCACGATGTGTCTCTAGAACTCCAGGAAACTCTGTCCTGTTGGAAGTCACTACCATTGGAGGAAGTTAGAAGTTATGAGATTGTCATTGAATCCGGTCCCAAAGGCTGAATGGTATACGAGCTTGTCTTGTAACTAGAAGGTCCTGGGTTTGAACCCTAGTGGGTGCGTTCTGCCGATGACTCCCAAACTTCGATGAAACAGCTGTCCAGTACTTTAGTGTTGGTTTTCAATGGCTCTCTAACTGGTATCAGTCCCTGATCAACTCGTATTGTAATTGTATTTTCTGGTAACGACTGTCATGACAGGTTGTTAATTTACGTCTCTATTGATCAACTATAGTAGTAATAAACAAATTATCCACAAAAGAAACTGTGTACAGACAATGTTTAAGTGTTCAAACACTCCTGTGGTGAAGAGAATGAAAGAAAACTACCTGCTAACTGTATTCAAAAAGAATGGATATCCTCCTCAAAATTTCATCGAAAAGTGTTTAAACTCGAGTCATAACATCGACAAGAAACCATCATCAAAGACGACTACAAGAAAATTGAATCTACCATACATAAAAAATATCTCTGAAATAACACAGCTAGAATATTAAGACCGTTTGAAATAGATACAGTAGACAAGCCAGCCAGTCAGCACAGTCACTGCATTCGATATTGTACAAACCAAAACATCAAACAGAAAAAGAAGATAAAATTAAATACCATTTACAAAGTAAATTGTGCGAACTGCGATAAACATATTACCTCGGTGAAAGTGGACGTCACGTTCATGTGCGAATCCAACAACAGAAATTAGCTGTAAAAAGGCACGATGTATACATTCTTGTATATCAAAGCATATAGATATTTACGTATACGAATGTGATTGACATAATATAGATATTTTAAATATAGGAAACACCAAAAAATACTGCTAGAGAATTTCTAGAAGCCTTGTACTCAAGTGAATCAGCCAGCCATTAAAATACCCATTGTCATAGACTAAATTTAGCAAATAATAAAAATTAAATCATGTGACAAGAAATTTGAAATTGCAAGTCAATAAAAATGATCAATAGAAACGTAAATTAACAACCAGTCACAACAGTAGTTGCCAGGAGATACAAGTGCGTCATTCATGGAGAATTTAAATGAGTTCATTTTATACTAAAATTTGCTCTGGCTGAAGAGGTTATCGAGATGGGTGGGCGATGAAAGCTTTGCAATTAAATCAACCAGCTCCTCCTCCTATTATTATTATTATTATATCCCTTAATTCCTAGAGGAACATAGGGCTTCAGCTGCGCGTCCCCATTTCCTTCTGTTTTCTGCCAACTTTTTCACTTCGCTCCAAGTCTGCCCACATGCTTTCATCTCCTCTTCACATGACCTCCTCCAAGTCACTCTTGCAATGACGACCAACTCGCCGCTTCCCTTTCCGGTTCCACTCGAGCGATAGCCTGGCGTGTGATGTCACTTGATAGTTTCCTCAGAGTATGGCCAATCCATCTCGATTTCTTCCTGCCTATTTGTTGCACAGTCAGTTCCTGCTGGGTTAGTTCACTCACTACCAGAGATCCCTATTGCTGATCTTTTCTGGCTGGCCATCTGGTTTTGAGTAGTATTGAGCGAAGACAGGTGTTGATGAAGGTCTTTAGTTTGTTTGAGATGCTCTTTATGACGCGCCAAGTATCTGATCCGTAAAGTAGCAATGACTTCACATTGGAGCTGAAAATCCGGAGCTAATTTTTCATGCTGAGAGCTGATTGTTGACCTCCACACAGACTTCAAGTCCGCTGTTGTCTCTGGGTCCATTTTCAATGCTTCTGCTGGGATTCCATCTGGTCCTGCTGCTTTTCCAGCTTTTAGCATCTTGATTGCATTCAGGACTTCTGATTTCGTGTTGGGGGGGGGTCGATGTTCACTGGTAGTTCTGCTCCTCCTCATAGAACACAGCTAATTCAATATCATCCACCTGAGCTACAAATATTCTCAATTATTTCAAAAATCTACAATAGTAGTTAATTTGTGGATGGTGACTAGCAGTGGAATCCAAGATGCGCATTTCGTCTTATTTGGGACTCGTCAGCTGGATATACCTGCATTCCCCAGTGAGTGATGGCGTTCCCACCCAGGCTCTAACCCAGTTCTCATAGTTTCAAACTCCAAAGCGTTACCCACTAGACCACTTGGGTCACGAGAGCCATCTTTTGTACAACGGGTAATATTAATTTAATTTAATTTTTTTAGATCTGGGCACTGGGTTCGAGCCTCAGTGGGAACATCATCACTCACTAGGAAATGCAGGTACATCCAGATGACAAGTCCCAAATAGGACGAAATGCGCATCCTGGATTCCACTGCTAATCACCATCCACAAATTAAATTCTAATGAAATGCCCAGACATTGTTGAAGCATCTACACAAGAAGCCGACATGTCAACCTGAGACCGAGCACTTCGGTCCAATCAATCGACGGAAAAATCTAAAAAATTCAATTAAACTACAATATTATTGTTTGAATCACATAGTGTGATTATCTTAAAAGAAACACTCCACCTTTCAGTCAATACTTATTTCAGTATATTTGATGACTGCTACTCACACATTCCGTTGTAATTTTTGATCAGATTCTTTTCTTAATAAGGTATCGACACAGTATTAAAATAGAAATAATGACTACTTGCCTAAATTGTTACCGTTAACACGTCGTTCCATTCACACTAAGATAAAATAAGGTTGTTTAGTGTAACGCAATGCTTAACATTAGTACTGTATTTCTACTCTAAATACTTGAGAAATGGTTGAAAATCAGTGTAAAATGTAATACATTCTTAGACCGATGAAATACATCGGTGGTTCAGAGGTGGTAGGACTCTCGCTAACCATGCATATATATATGGTCCGTGTTTGGATCCATGGCTGACGCACCCCTAGACCTTGCTAAGCCGGCAGTAAAGCCTAAGTAATGAGGGAAGGTTGGGCGTCAGGCTAGTAACCCCACTCCGTAAAAGCGAAACCACTACTACTGGAACTTCAAAGCTCTAGCTCAAAACCCTATTCTTCACTTGGAACGTAAAGGAATTGTAAAAAAGACCTATGAGAGTTAATTTAAAAATGACTATTTCATAGCTTCATGTTACTGTGTGATTTTCACTTTCATTCTTGTTCTTTTGTGTGCATGTGTGTGTGTATTTAACAAACAATCACAGTTGGTGTTGACTCCTCTATTTTCCTAGTTAGCTATTGTTGTATAAATATATTTATCTGTAAGCATTTCCGGAGTTAATTTATAGTCATTTTTCAATTGGATGAACTTATTTATTTATTTATTTATTTTATTGTTGTTGTTGTTTATTTTAACTGATAAAAGTACACTTTCAATGTCAAATGGAATAGTATACAAAATCTGTTCATAGTGAAATATGATGCCTATTTGGGCATTAGTTTCCGTTATTGTATTGCCTTGTATAAGACTAAATGTTGACTATGATGAAATATAACATTATAACGTATAAAACAAGCAGTAGCTTCGTATACACTCAGATTGATATTGTTTGATAAGAGCTGACTTCCATACTGAAGATCAAATGGCCAGTCGAACAGAAGGAATTAGCAACACCAAAGTCTAACTGGGAGCAAACCAACCAAGATCCGATTACTCAAGAAATATGCAGGAAAAAATGGAGATGGATCAGGAATACATTGAAAAGGCTTTCGAATGCCAGGCCATTGCTCGAGTGAAATCCCATTGAGATGTGACGAGTGGGTCGTTGGTGCAAGGGTGACATGGGGGGAGAACCTGTGTTGGGGAGTGGAGGATGAGAGACTACGGGCGATCGTGAAGCTAGCCAGCTGAAGAGGACAGCAGAAAATAAAAGAAATTGTAGGTGGTTAAAACTTTTAATCTTATCACAAAAACTATATTATACAAAGTCTCTTAGGGCTAAAGCTTTCAATCTTTTTACGTCTTTCACTTTAATATGATGTTTCACAGACATGTAAATTAGTACAAAGCCAACTGTTGCTGTATGAACAGGCTTTTTGATGAGTAGCGAGATTTGAATCCTTAATAATCGTCTTCAATCATTCGATTTGAGTTGATTCAACTTCTTGGATCAATTAATTGTTGAACATGTTCAACCATTTGTCTCTATCTTTCTCTATCCTTAAATCAGAGATCTATCATGTCACATTTGACCATTAGATACTTAAATTACTCAGATTTTTACTCGAAATGCTCAGAAGACTCTTAAATTGTTACCTGTCCTTCACTTGAAAGGCATATATCATCTACACAGTCCAAATAAATGTGATTTCTTCGTCATATCCTGTTACTATCCGAAAATTCGAAGTAGAAGACAGAAACACAGTAAAATTAAGTGAGAATGATGAGGTCGACACGTCGCTTACTAACATCTCAGATTTTCAATACTTCAGGTAAAAAAAGATCTTATAATCTCTACATGGTTGTGATAGTTCGTGAATGTTAATAGACAGAAGACCAGTAGTTCAGCGAAGAGTCTCTTTTCGACGAATTCATCTTCATAGTTCTACAATCGCAAATATATACGGTTATTTTGTGTATATGGTGCGTCGGTGGTATAGCGGTTAGGACGCTCGCCGACCATGCATATGGTTCGGGGTTCGATCCCCGGCCGGCGCACTCCTTTACCTCACTGAGCCAGAAATAATGCTGGTAAAGAGGAAAGGTTGGGCATGAGGCTAGCAACCCCATCCCGTAAAAATTAAACACTGCTACAGAAACTTCAAGCCACTAGCTTGGAGCCCTATGTTCCACTGGGAACGTGAAGGAAAAATTATTATTATTATTATTATTTTGTGTATATGTGTACATTAAATTTGTCAACTCCCTTGATTTGACTTAACTTTTGTTTGTTTGCTTGATTTAACTTAACTCTTGCCTGTATGCTTATTTTGTCTGACTACTTAAAATCCTTGCGTAATTCCGTATGTTATTTTGTTTCCATGTACACCCTGAGCACAACTCTTTCATCAAACTATTCACAATATTACGTAACTCTTCTTTAACAATCGTTTGTCACAACTCATCACTTTTGTCACCACCCTCTTATTTCAACATCCAATCCATCTGAACTTACTAATTGTTCGTTTTCCACTGGTTCTCTAACTGATGTCAGCTCATGATTAAATCCTCCATGAAATTTAATGTACACATACATACAAAATAACCATATATAGTTGTCATTGTACAGCTATGAAAATGAATTCACTGACGAAAAGAGACTCTTCGCTGTTCTACTGGTCTTCTGTCTATTAAAGTTCGTGAATGGTCCTTTGATTGGTGTAATTTATTTTTTCCGGGGTTTTTCTCACGGTTAAGTTCATCTTCATAACGCCTTCCGATCGATGGAATTGATTTCCACCTCCTGATCAAGAGGTATAGAATATGTTGGATACCGTCACGTATGTATCTGTTTCATAATCCACCAAGGGGTCAAGATGTCATTAATTTACCATCGTCCAATCGTTAAATACCATGATACAGTTTGCACACGAGCGTTTATTTGGAGTTATAGACTTAATTAATTTCTTTAAATGTGTTCCACTACACTTCACACTATTGGGTAATTTTTTTTAATTTTTGATATGTTTGATGCTGGTATCTTTATTATGTCAACGTAGAATCGATTTCTCAACACCTCATGACTTTCCTTTTTCTTATGTATTTTCTCAAACAAAAATCTCTAGGTATACTTGCTGAAGAAGCAATCTGCAATTTAACAACCACACTGAAAGCCTATTTAACACCTCCGTCTATATCAGCCTCATCAACAGCTGCTACGCTAATTGATCCAAAACTTATGAAGTTGCTAACAGAATCATTAGGTTATTTAGATATGGTACGTTTCAGTAGTAGCATGAATACGCATACTGCTAGCATGACAATGGCTGCAACACCAACATCACCAATGAACTATTCTACAGGATTTAACGACGGAAATGGTTCACTGAATCGATCTATATCTGGTAGAGCTGGAAGCAGTATTGGCAGTCGAGTATATTGCTCTGCTCGTCTTGTTGCATTTAATATTCATCATACTATAGTAAAATCTTATCCAAGCTTTTTCATTATACCACAGGTGAGTAGTCACAGTTTTTTTTAGTTTTTTTTTTGTTTGTTTGACTGGTCAGTGTTCATTTAAAGGTTGTTTAGCCTCATCTTTTACGACTTCAATTCACACTCCTTCTAGTGAATATCGGTAGTCTCTGCATAAATACATGCCTACAATTGTGACACCAGTGATAACGAATATTATGCATTTTTGTGCACTAAGTCAATGTGTGGTTTAGTGGGATAATATTTCGCATACCGTGCTCAAGGGTCAGTGTCCAATCCCGGAGTGATGCATTCCTAAACCTTGATTAGGTTTACAAGCCGACAGATACCCTGAGTAGGGCGGGAGTAACTATGACTCTAATGTAAAAGACTAATAAAAGAGGGATTTCTTATTATTTATAAATAAGACAAGGCTGCCTACTATCGCCAATGATTTTCCTGATTGCAGCACATTGGATAATGCGACAAACAGCGGGAAATGAGGAAACAGGCATAAAATGGACCCACTTTTACAAAGAACTTGGAGGATCTGGACTTCACCGATGATATATGTCTGATTTCCCACAAACTGGAAGATATGCAAGTGAAGAGCAACAAGTTGGCTGAAGAAGCATCAAAGATAGGACTTCAGGTGATGAAGATTCCTGGCCAACATCAACAGCAACAACAACAGACAACAACCAGCTAGCATAAATGGGAGGAACCTGAAAGAAACAACCTCCTTTACCTACCTCGGAAGCATCGATTCAACTACATGTGGAACTGACGAGGATGCCAAAGCAAGGATAGGGAAAGCAAGACAAGCTTTCATTACTCTCAAGTCTGTGTGGAGGTCAACAATCAGCTCTCAGCATGAAAAATAATATCCGGTTTTTCAACTCCAATGTGAAGTCAGTGCTAACATACTGATCAAAGACTTGGCGCGTCATAGAGAGCACCTGAAAGAAACTAAATACCTTCATTAACAGCTGTCTTCGCTCAATACTCATGATCAGATGGCCTGTCAGAAAAGATCAGAAATAGGGATCTCTGGGTGTAAACCGACCAGGTCTGTCTGTCTGTATGGATTCAACATAGAACTTGGCACCGAAGTGCAGCAGTTCAACTTGCCACGTTCCAAATATCACACAAAGGTAGACAAGAAGATGAGTGAAGAGAATCAATAGAGTTTGACAAGTATAAGAGTGAAACAGAATGGGTAATAGTGGAAAGGAATGTGAAAGATTACAGAGACTGAATACATCTGCACCATTGACAACGATTTTGAGCCATGTCACCTATTGTCTCCAGCCATTGATTCCTAGAGTCCCGAGGGCCCCAACCCGGAAGTCTGCATCTCCCTACCTGACTCAGTTTAACTGTCAAGGATTTCATGGACTGATGAGGCCACGTGTTTGTTTGGCCACCACCAACCGACCAGGAACCGATTGTGCAACAAATAGGCAGGAAGAAATCGAGATGGATTGGCCATACTCTGAGGAAACCATCAAGTGACATCACACGCCAGGCTATCGCTCGAGTGGAACTGGAAAGGGAAGCAGTGAGTTGGTCGTCAGTGCAAGGGTGACTTGAAGGAGGTCATGTGAAGAGGAGATGAAAGCATGTGGGCAGACTTGAAATGGAGTGAAAAAGTTGGCAGAAAACCGAAGGCAATGGAGATGCGTGGCTGAAGCCCTATGTTCCTCTAAGAATTAAAGGAAATAATTATTATTATATATACATGAATGGATACTTTGAATTCATGCTTTTATTTTTTCTTATTTGTAATTTCTTTCTTTATAAGGGTATTACTCAGAATTGTTTAACTAAAGTGGCTCGTTCACATAAGCGAGGTCGTTTCCCTGTTGTCACTTGGCAACATCCTGAGACTGGTGCCTATCTGTTACGTGGTAGTGAAATGCAATCAAATATTATTTTGAATACATTTAAAAATATTAAAACTGCCTCGAAAGGTAGTACTGGTGATAATGGTATGTGTATTTTTTAAACAATTAAATTCTCTTTTTTTTATATTTCTCACTTTATGTATGTGTGTATTTCGTTTATTGTATAATATACTGTTGTTATGACGACACTGAACTACTGTGTATCATCCTATCTATGTGTCTTAATGACCATTTTGGAACATGTTCTTTTCGACGACATTTGGACATTCCATTGGTTCTACGTATATAAGTGTCACATCAACTGCAGGTAAACTTGTAGATACAGTTGGAGACTATGAAACGATTAGGCGATGTATTTTTCGTAAGCAGACATGGAGTGGACAATATCTTCATTTCACCAGTTTTTTTTTCTATCTAGTATAGATGTGTTTTAGTGAAATGTTTGTTCTCAAGGCCCCACAAAATATGCACGAGTGACACGTAGGTGGTTGAGCTTCGACGTATACATTCAGTTTTACTAACTAATGGTTATCCAGAAAACTTTATCCTTTGTTACAGTAAGGATGTACCACATCTTGAAAAGATAGCTGCTGTACCAAAGAAAAATGTCTTTATTAACCTACCATTCAAGGGTGATTAAATTATGCAGTTAACTGCTCAAAGACTTCAATCAGCCATGAAGCTTGCATTCTACGTCAGATCTCTTTCCCTCACAATCTCTGTACCTACGACTGAACGACGAAATTCTGTGAACTCTGCTTCAAATCACATCTACAAAATCACCTACATTTGCAGTGACATCTGTATAGGTAGAACCAATAGAATGTTCCAATGTCGTCAAAAAGAATATGTTCCAAAATGGTTATTAAAAACACATAGAAAATCCCAATGTAATTATTAATCTGAATTAAAATCCATCATCATCCGTTGCAAAGCACTTAATTATGTCAGGTCACAGAATCAATATTAATGACTGTTTCACAATTATTTCACCACATAACTCTAAGGTTGGTTATTGAAGGTGATGGAAGCACTTTGGATTAATCACATACAGCCTAAACTGTGTGTACAAAAGACAACAATAGCCTTCAATCTTCGCCTACCATGGACCACTTGACCTATTTAAATATGATTGGTCATTAGTATATGTGTACTTTTGTTTTATTTTACTGAGTAATTGTCATGCCTTTTATTATTATTATTATTGTGAACCATGTTAGTCGTAAAGCGGTTGTAAAGAAACTACGAAATGACGATATCATCTCACAAAATTTGTCTTCTAAATGCCTTATTCTAATTAAAATCCATTTTATTTCTTATTTTATGTATGTGTGTATTTCGTTTATTGCATAATATACTGTTGTTATGACGGCTCTGAACTACTGTATTATAACCATGTCGTCCCAAATACGGTTTGACAGCACTGGCTTCAATAACCGGTGGTGGAAATATCTTGTGGAAACTGATCACTTGGAAGTTATTCCCCCACACGGACGTAGATACACAGATAGTCAGGTTTAACTACTACGACAACAATAACTTTATTATTCAGGATTCGCATCTCTTCCTATTTAAGACTCGTCATCCAGATGTACTTGCATTCCCCAATGAGTGATGATGTTCCCACCGAGACTCGAACCCAGTGCCTATAGTTTCAAACCCCAAACCGTTATCCACTAGACCATTTGAGCCCCGAGAGCCACCTCTTGTGCAACGGGTTATATTAATTATTTAATTGAATTTTAGATTTTCCCGTCGATTGATTGGACCTAAGTGCTCGGTCTCAAGTTGACATTCAGATGCTTCGACAATGTCTGGGCATGTAATTAGAATTTAATTGGTGAATGGTGACTAGCAGTGGATTTCTTTTAATTATATCGTTATCTTTCACTCTTTTCCTTTGTGTGTGTTTTATTTTGCTTCCACCCTTAGTCGATGATGGCGTTGATACTACAGGTTCACATGCAACTGTCTCCAAAGAACATATACGCTATATACGTGCACTAGTTGATATGTCATTATCAGCTATGAATAATAGTCGACCGAGTAGTGTTATCACTTCAGAGACTGGTTATTCAGCAACTGATGACTTATCAAATTCATCTCAACTACCCAATGCTGCTGCTGCTGCTGCTGGTGGTACAACCTCATCCATGGATCATTTACCAAGGGAGCATAACACTATCAGCCATCCTGCTACTGCTACTGTTGTTTCAAGTGTAACTAACAATAAAACAAGATGTAAGTTGTTTTTTCAACTTTGCTTTTTTCTACTACATTTACATATACTACTTATTAACTACTCGTCAACAAGGAATATATATATATATATATATATATTTAAATGCACGGTTATCCTATCGTATCTTTATTAATATTATCTTTGATTGTATATTCACATAAATTTTTACAGTCAGGAGATATAAGGGTGAGTTCATTGAAGTCATACATTTCTCAGAATAGATAATAACGAGAACTAACACATTCTTTCAACAACAACAACATCAACAAACAACATTTAGTTAATCTTTTCGTGTGTAAAATTTTATTTTTACTAGTATAATATGATGTAACCAGTGTTTTATACAATTGTTGTACACGTTGTTTTTGTTCGCTCTGCTGGGAAATTTCTTTCTCTTGAAGTAATTTTATTCAACAGTTAAGCTGTGTTACTCTCTGAAAGTGAGTGAGTGAGTGAGTGAGTGAGTGAGTGAGTGAGTGAGTGAGTGAGTGAGTGAGTGAGTGAGTGAGTGAGTGAGTGAGTGAGTGAGTGAGTGAGTGAGTGAGTGAGTGAGTGAGTGAGTGAGTGAGTGAGTGAGTGAGTGAGTGAGTGAGTGAGTGAGTGAGTGAGTGAGTGAGTGAGTGAGTGAGTGAGTGAGTGAGTGAGTGAGTGAGTGAGTGAGTGAGTGAGTGAGTGAGTGAGTGAGTGAGTGAGTGAGTGAGTGAGTGAGTGAGTGAGTGAGTGAGTGAGTGAGTGAGTGAGTGAGTGAGTGAGTGAGTGAGTGAGTGAGTGAGTGAGTGAGTGAGTGAGTGAGTGAGTGAGTGAGTGAGTGAGTGAGTGAGTGAGTGAGTGAGTGAGTGAGTGAGTGAGTGAGTGAGTGAGTGAGTGAGTGAGTGAGTGAGTGAGTGAGTGAGTGAGTGAGTGAGTGAGTGAGTGAGTGAGTGAGTGAGTGAGTGAGTGAGTGAGTGAGTGAGTGAGTGAGTGAGTGAGTGAGTGAGTGAGTGAGTGAGTGAGTGAGTGAGTGAGTGAGTGAGTGAGTGAGTGAGTGAGTGAGTGAGTGAGTGAGTGAGTGAGTGAGTGAGTGAGTGAGTGAGTGAGTGAGTGAGTGAGTGAGTGAGTGAGTGAGTGAGTGAGTGAGTGAGTGAGTGAGTGAGTGAGTGAGTGAGTGAGTGAGTGAGTGAGTGAGTGAGTGAGTGAGTGAGTGAGTGAGTGTATAATTACCCAATCAGTGGGTGTATTATTATGTTTTGTCTTCTACTTAACAAGTTTTTTTGGTTAGTTCTTGTTTTTGTTGAATACAACTTTGTCATCTGTTATGTTGATATTTTTAGTTGTAATGCTAAAAAAAGATTGCTTAGATTCACTTAACCTAAGCTTAATGGAAATCTGTCTGGCCCATTGATGTAAGCCGTCCAGTTTAGCTCTAGTAAGTTCTGATTTCGACTCCCGCCTTACTTCCTTCAGCCGCGACAAAACCCTTACACAGGTGTTTGTGTATGTCTATTTATTATATTAGTTCATAACCTGATAGATGAAAAATCTGCTTCCGGTAACTGGATTGTAATTAACTAATCTCATCTAATCTATTTAAGCCTAATAATATCATTGTCATTATTGCGTATTCATAAATGAGAAACTGTCAGTCAACTGATTACATCTGATTATGATAAATGGACCTTTAAATGTGCAATCATTTGGGTGCTGTGATTAGGAAAGATTTATGCGTTGGCAGTTATTCATTACGTACTGATTGTTTGAGTTTGTTTTTGCCGTTGTGTCCGTATGAGTGAATGTCTTTCCACTGACTACCAACTAACTCACGGTAAGTCGGGATGTAAAGATTTCTTTTCAGTGCGGACATTTTCTAACCTCCTCTCATCAGAGTTGAGAGGCAGCATAGCTGGCCTACTGGCCGTCTTTACTGTTATTACATCCCTCAGATTTATACTAAGATCGTAGTCGAATCGTTATCCAAACAACCTTTCTGTAATGATAAGACCTACAGAACCAATGGTGCACACAAAGCCAAGGATTACTAGACACCGTTTTCGTCCTAGTTTGGGACTCCTCGGGAATGTGCAAGCACAACCTCATCAGAGATTGGTTGAATCCAGAATCTTTGTGTTATGTGGAATTTATGCGTCGATTATTCAGCCAGCCACTGATTCTACGTTAAATATGTGAAATCAACTTTTTGTGATTTTAATAGAATTTGAAATAGTAGACAAAGAATTTGATGTCTACTTCCAGTCAGCACTTGTACTTATCTGTCTACTCTTCTCACCTTTCGCAGTAGTCGGTATCCAAAGCTTCCCTCCCACAGCATTGTTGTCATCTTTGGAGTTTGTGTAAAGATTTGCAGTGTTCTTTGATAATATGAGTCTTTTGATTGATCCATGTGATTCGAAATTGATCAAGAAGAAGAAGAAGAAGTTGTGTTTCTCTTCTCTTTCACTCAAACAGATATATATATATCGTGTGATAACTAGGGTTGGCTGACTGGTTTGGCATTTCATATCAATTTCTAGGTACCGTGATAAAAATGAATATCTGTGTTCTATATATATAATTAATGAATTATATTTTGCGTTCCACCGTTGTCTAACACACCTTACCTTTAGAAAAATATGTTTTTTTTTCATTTATTTCAGTTCGTGAGGGTAAGAAACACGTTGGTGTTTGTTTCATTTTTCTGTCTTTTCATGCTCTCTTGTTGTGTTCCTGTGTATGTGTGTGTGTGTACGTGTGCGTACGTGTATGCGCGTGTGTTACCCTTCTCCTAAAACTAATATGAAGCGTATTTAACATTTAGCTAGCTAGCTAGCTAGCTAGAGATTAACATTTTAGCCTTAGTTGTTTGCTTGGTTTCCACACGCCATGCTCCACCCTCTGCTGGGTATGTTTCTTTACTACACTACAGTGTCATACGTTTTGTTCAGCAGGTAAGTATTATCTGAAGGCGAGTGGGAGAAGGGTGTGAACAATTCAGTCGCCAATACGCCCCCCTCCGCTTTCTCATACCTTCACACGCGCTACGTGCATACATGCACACATACATACATTGATTGTAGATGTGTATATCGGTATATTTGCTCATCGTTTCCTACTTCTGATGAGTTGCGGTGTCTGCGAAATGTCTCTTGTGTAATTGAGTAGTTGAACAGTATGTATGTCTATGTATGCCTACTTATACTTAATCGTTGTCATTTAGTAGAGGGGGGGGCTGGAGTTGAGTGTTGTAATCAAGCTGTTATCGCTTGTTGCTCTTATTGCTGTTTTGTCTGTTACCTACTTCTGCTTCTGTTGTTGTTGCTGTTTGAGCATTTTGTTTTACCTGTGTGAGCCAAATTTATCTTTCGTGTTGTTGCTCTGGGTGTTGTCTCTCTCATTTGTGTCATATTTGTTGTCATTTTACCTCACACACACATATCCCTCCTGTTTGTTTACCCTTCATCGGCTAAATTCTTGCCAATAAATAATGAGCTCTATTGTCCTTTATTCTCTCACATACGTACCAACATCTTGTCTCCATTATTGCATTATGACCTAGTTAACGAATCATTCTACCTAAGGGAGAATTTTACTTTCGATTTTTAAATAGAGGATTCATCATTTAGGTGGTTGATGCCTTCTGATTGTGAATAGATTTCCAAGTTCAGTGTGTATATTTCATAATACTATTGATGTTGTTGTTTTTTTTTTGGCTTGATTCCTTCACATTTTCGAGGGAACATGAAGCTTCACTCACAGCACACTAATCTTTGAAGTTTCAGTTTTTGTTTTTATGGGGGGTAGGTGAATAGCGCCTCGCTCGCTTGCTCACTCACTCACTACTAACCTAACCTTATCTCTCTTTACCGAGTTCACAAGCAACTAGTAAGTAAATTTGGTGAAGTTTAAGAGAACATTGCCCCCCTAGAGTTGAATCACGGGATCATCTTCGTCGTTGGTTGGGGGGTGGGGGGAATATTCCACAGCGGTTAGCACTGTCGCCGATCACGCTTATGGTCCGGGGCTCCAGCCTCCGCCGACGCACACCTGATATCTATGGTCGGCCTGCGAAATTTGGGCTACCGATATCACATGCTGAAAATTCCATACCTGTACCAAAAATACTTTGTGGAATCAAGCTATAATCAAAATTTTTTTAAAATCAAAATTTACCGTTTCGCGATACAATGGACTGGTCATTGACGGCTAGAAAGCATTACTAAACAAAACAAAAGAACTCTGGGAATAACCTGATCAACAAATATGTTGAAGGAATAGAGATGGATCAGGCACATTCTCACAAGACCGTTGAGTGATGTCACATGCCAGATCATCACTCAAGTGGAACCCGAACGGCAAACAACGTGTTGGGCGTCGCTTCTAGAATGATATTCTGGAGGTCGTGTGAGCTGAAGGAAATGATAGCCTATGGGCGATCGTGTGACGCAGTTGAAAAGGACTGTGGAGAACAGGACAAAGTAGAGATGCTCTGTTGTAAAGCCCGATGTTCCTCTCGGAACCCAAGGGAATAATAATAACAACAATGGACTAGTCATTGAATAAAATGACGTGCATAGATGATTTCACTATTGAAGCATTGTAACCACCTGCCTCCTTAAATCTTCTACGTGTGATGATTACTTGACATGCATGTAACTGAAATATTTCTAATCCTGTGTACTGTCTGAAAAGCAACCACTCTTAGGATACATCTTTAACATTTATTTATTTATGTCGAATAGCCGAAAAAGATTGTGGTAACGGGAGAAGACAGAATCCTTGGTAACGAACTTTTTTATTGGGGACAGATACACCATAATTTATACATTTTTAGTCACATTTATGGTCAGGCTTGGTCAACGGATAATAAACTGTTCTGATTGGTTGTTAATTTTCTAAAGGTTAAACCTTGAGTTTATTTCCTGACCACAACGTAAGCTAGATGTAGGTTTTAGTTAAAGAAACATTCTTACCTGTGCAGCCAATTGACTTGAAAATGTTGTTTTCAATTTTTGCTGCTTCCTATAAATCTGCGTTTGCAGTGCTGCTGATAAATCTTGTCAGTAGAACTCACCACAGTTTATAATTGCCATTGGGTTGATTTTTGAGTCATCCCTAGTTGACTAAGGGTTCTAAGTAGGACCAAAGAACTTCTCTAGATGATTGTTTTATGACATGTTCTCACATCTTCTCATAGGTCTGTTTCGTCTTTACAAAATGTGTATGTATTGACGATAGATTTGTTGTGTGTGTGTGTGATGCAGGATTTGACCGCACGATAATCTCTACAGCGCCTTCAACTTAATCCTGCCCATCTATGAAATTCCCTCAGATACGTGAATCCCCCTCCCTATGAATTCGCTACTTACCAGAAGTAGAAGGATGATTAAATGAAGGCCAACTTCCCGCCGATCGGATGTACTACATAAGCATCTGATTGATTTTCGGAGCATTATCTAGCTTCATTGTCTTATCTTTATTCTAGAATATTTTATCATTTCCAGGCGCGCTTGTCTTTTGCGTAGAACCACCGCTACATAGTCACTTGTGGTGTCATGCGTTATTATACTAGAAATATTCGACTGTGTCAATTACACAAATGAGGCGATAATACATGTAGTAGTATGTATGTCTATAGAGGCCTGTGATGTAGGGTTTCTGGTTCTCTACTTCCCACACTCTTGACGAGCTTTTCAGGCGGAAACTGTTTAAGGCCTTGCCACACACACACAATTCGTTTAGTGGTGGAGTTTTGTGGAATTTCTTTTTCCTCCCCAAAAATTTTACCATTGACTACGACTCGCCATAGGGCAAAGTGAGGTTAATACTATTTGGATCTGATCTTCCTTGTAATCCCTCTGCATAACCGGATGGTGGCACACTTTTGTATATTGATTTATACATACCTCTATCCTTCAGTAGTGCGTCTTTCTCTCTGGATCCTTACGACAATATAGGAGATTTACATACACTGTGATGATGATCATCGCTGAATAATCTGGAAAGTTGTAACTACCAGCTTTCAATTAGAATATAGATCTGATCTCTTACGTTCTATCTTATGACAATCATCCCCACGGTTTTTGAGGTTCCCGCTAAGAATGTTGCTTTAAAAGACAATGAAATTTATCTAATCGTCATTGTGATCCTTTGATGTGTTTGCATTGTACCTGATGATTATTCACTGGGTATCTTTTAAACTGTTGTTTTAATTGTATGCAATTTAGCGTTGAATATCGTTTATGCTTGACTTTTCATAAAATGAGAAGTTTGTTTCGCTTTATTAATACAAAATCTGAGTGTACTGTAGTGTGTTAACTCTATTTCTGTTGGTTCAAATTATTATTGTCGTTGTCATTACTACTGTAGTAGATTTTTGTTCAGTTTTGTGTTGTCTATTGATCAACTGTAAGACTGATGCTTAATATCGTTGGTTGGTTGACTTTCAACCAGCAGTCGGTCTTGGGTTCGAATCCCATCCCACTGGATGTCAGCCTCTACAATTGAGTGACGAGCACATCATCACCAGACTCATAGACTGGTGTATGTACTTGAGAAATTAGTTTCGGGCAGTTGAATTCTTTATGCCACCTTTTATTTCTCTTAAAAAACCTTAGGGAGAACGGCGAAATGAGATATTGGTCAAAAATGCCCATTATTAGTTTCAAAAAACTGACTGCTGAACAGAGAATATTCTTCGCGATAACTTCTTGATCAGGTTCTATAGTAATATATCCATAATAATGCAAGAATTAAGGTTATTAACAACAATAATGTGTATACAACAATGAATTAATAATATTAACAATATAAATGGATTACAGTTCGATAGCATCAGCATAACAATACACTGAATATCAGACAAATAAGGAGAAATAATAACACAGAATTCATGAATTTATAGGCTCCACAGATAGCCGGAGTAGTAGTAGTAGTAGTAGTGGTTGGACCTGTTTCTTCTGCACACAGAGCACCGGTTGTTTTAGACCAATTGCAATTGCCTCTGCTTTTTGGAGTATTCAGTATCTGGATCCTCTTGGCAATTTATTTGGTACCCGATAGGATAAGGATTTTTCAATTCCAGTCTTGTGTTCGTTTTGAACGTTTTCACCACACGTTTATTTAACCACACTGGTAGGTGACCTCCAAGAGAGCACGATCAATCAAGTTCCTAGAGCAACAGACAATATAACTCGCTGCACACGTGAGGTTGAATCGGTAGATACAATTAGAGGTGGCTAGTCTAGTCTAGGTACTTTATCTTTCAATTGAGGAATCACAACGCGATTGGATAGAAAATATAACTTGTGGTTTACCAGCATTAAAAGTTCTTTGCATACATTTTCTTAACTTGTTAGTAATTATTTCACTAGGTGCATGCATCACCCTTGAATTGCAGTTACATATACAAAGGCGTCTTATTTACAGGTGGAGAATATTCCTTTTCTGCTTTCTTGGTCATGTGTTCCTTGATGAACTTTTCTGGATAGCTATTTTCAATTAGCGTGTCATATACAATCCAAAGTTCATTTTCAATTACGTCTTCTGAGCACATAGTTCTGATCCTGTAGCTGAGTGTCATTATTAAATTCCTTTTGTACTGGAGAGGAACAAAGCTATGCAGATTTGTATATTGTCCTGTCCATATGCACTTGCCTTATGCAATTTCCTCTCTATATTACCATTTAGTTTGCTTGTAAGACAAGCAACTAAGAAGGTAATTCTACTTTGAGGATTCGTCGTCTGAAGTGAATTTCATAGCAGAATGTACTTCATTGAATTGAGTTATTATTGTGTTTCTGTCTGAATCATTTTCATAAAAATTGAAGTTATCATCCATAAATCAGCCAGAAAATGAGAATTTCCTGATTAGGTTGTTCATGATTATGGATATATAACTGTGGAACCTGATGACGAAAGTTATCGAGAAGAATATTCTTCGTACAGTAACCAGTCTTATTAATGTCTGTTTAAGTGTCGGTGTCAGCTATCAGCGTTAATATTATCTTCAAGCATACATAAAATGTGATCAGAACTGTAATCATTCGATATAGAATAATATTCTCTACTCTGATGAAAATATAAAATTACCAGTAATTTCAGTGGGGAAAATTTGATTAAATTTCAGTATTGGGAAATTTCCTCATTTTTGTTTTTTCGTTGCAAGAATTAATTTGCATGTCTTCTCCAAATTAAATCTCTCCTTTCCATTGGTTCATAATCATTATCATTATTATCGATTTTATTGATTATATTTGTTTGAATAAATCGTATGTCTGTTTGTCTGTCTATCTTAGATGTTATTTTTGAGTGTTGATTGTTGCCTTTTTTTAAATTGTGGTGGGGGATATTATTTGATAACATACATGTTTTATGATGTTTGTAATTATGCCACATGGCATGTACAGGAAGTTGTCTTTAACACAAACTTTGATTTGATTAACGTTCAAATACTAAATCCTCTTCTAATTCCAATTTCTTGATTCAATCATATTCATGCTTATTATATAGTAAATATCTCTCTGATTGAGGAATTATCTTGTAATATATCAGGCCATCTTATCGACCAGTAGTTATATATATATATATATATATATATATATATATATATATATATATTCCCGGAGCTGGTTGATTCAATTGCGAACGTTTCATTCTCCTTATAGGCAACATATTCAGCGCAAGCTTTGACATGAAATGAACTTATTTGGTCTAACTGTATTTCCTAACAGCCTTTGTTGTGATTGGTTATTAATTCACATTTCTATTGATCATATTTATTGATTTGGAATTTAAATTATTTTCTCATGTGATTTATTCTTAATTATTTGGTAAATTTCATCTTCTAGGCTTCTAGGAATTTCCTGACATTTATGTGGAATTTAAATAGGTTCACCTCACCATATTAAATCTTGCACTGAAGCTATGTTGTTTAGAAGGGAGGACAATGAAAGCTTCACGATTAAATAAATAAACCGGCTTGGGGAGAACGCAACTAAATCAAGTTATCCATCTGAGTTACAAATCTTCTCTGTTGTATGTGTTCTAAGTAGGACACAGGACCTGACACTCTGAAGTTCCAGTGATATTACTTTATGGAGGGGCCTAGAATGGCCAAATCCACACACAACCTTCCCTCTTTTTTCCGGGTTTAATACTGACCAGTAAACTAAGTGTAGTCTATGAGTGCAACGATCGGGAATTGAAACCTAACCATCCGCATGGACTGCCGAAGCATAAATACCAGGGAGGACTGGAGAACTGTTATTTCGTCCTAGTTTGGGACTCTTCAATAGTGCGCTTCCGCAATCGCCACAGAGGGGATGGAAACCAGGAGCTTCAAGCTACAAGGCGAACCCTTTAACCACTCAGCCACTGGGAGGGGGGGAGGGGAATAGCGTGGATTCGAGGTGATGAACTTTCTAACCTTAGTCAGTCATACTTCAGATAATCGCCCTAGTTGCTAATTCGATTTCTGGCTAGTTAATGGCTTCATAGGGCTCCAGCTAGATTGATTTAGACTGTCGACTTCCAACCAATAAGTCATGGGTTCGAACCTCGCGCCACACTTACCAAGGTTTGAGCAGCCAAGCAGCATCACTAACCCTTCCACAATAGGTGTGATCTACGCTGGTCAGTTGTGGTTGAAATCACAAATACTTTTAGGTCTATTTGTTTTATTTATTTAAAACCCAAAACCTGGTGCCAGTATAGGCAGCAATAAGATGTGCCATACGATAATAATAAAACAGTAATATGTAAAGAAAATAGCCAGAGAATGGAAAAAGGACTTCATCCAGGAAGGAAGCAACTGTATTCGACAAGATCAATTAACATTTGTCGAATTACTCTAAGTAAGAGAAAAAAAATGAAATTGAAGCATGTTTATCATTGATTGCCATTCTTGGTTATATCGTCTGATAGCATTCGGAGACACTTATTCGAACTACCCCTCGGACTTCAACCAGAGAGTCGTGATATACTAACCGATACTAGTTAACCTGACAAATATCCTTTGTCCCACAACGCCACGTCACTGATTAACCACCTCTCAGCTGCTTTTCTCATCTAGTCCCAGGGTTAGCGAACAGAGACCGATACAAAGCCTCTCGGATGACATTCATAGCATATGTCCAAATCACCGAATTCGGCGTTTCCCGATGACTACACTCAATGAATGAATGGTGGTCTCCAGTGTGTCCAAACACACACTGCCAGACATAAGAATCACTCACACGAAGACGTTATCGGATGAAAGCAATTCTACTAAGACAACGATGACCGAGTACTCAGAGTCGATGCACATCTTCAACTCTCAGACACCAGGTTTCATAGGCGTAGAGCAAAACTGAGCTCACTGAAGTATTGTAAACCCAGCCACGGCGCTACAGGTGGCTTACTCAAATTGGCGTATACCACGTTAGCCTTCACTATATGGTTAGAAATCTCGCCTGTCACACCTCCGCCAGCACTCACACGACTACCCATATACACAGACGTATAGGCAGCTTCGATTGGTGCACTAAAAAGAATGAGTCCATTCGGCTACAGGCTCCTGCCAATGTTTTAACGTTATTTTGTACTTATACGGTGCAAAGCACACTTACATTCACACTCACAACTTCTTATGAGAATACATACGGTTATAAGTTATCAAGGGGTTTCATTAAGACTTTTGTATTGTATACGGAAATATGTCTGTCTGGTTTTAGTATGCATGAATTTTACTGGGGAATTAAACAGGTATGTTTTATCATTCTAACTGTTTATGGTAGCAGTCACGCTGAATTCACAAGGACGTCCAATGAAAATCTCAAAAAACCTATCTGTCATTTCTCATTCAATTGTCAATCAATCAATACTTCACCTTTATGTATTATTCTTTCTGTTTTCTTCTTCGTCATTCTTTAGCTTTAGGAAGAATTGGAATGTTTGCTGCACGTCGTCGTTTAACACGTTCGGGACTTTCTCCAATGGGTAGTATTGCCTCTGGTATTGATGATGTCATCAGCATGGATAGTGTTGCATCACAAAATAATATCCCACCACAGCATCCAAATCATCCGGCGCATGATACAGCTTCTGTTCTAGGCACCACTGGTGTTGTTGGTAGTTGTTTGCCGGGTGGTGTCATCAATAGGCCAATCTCCTTGTATATATTATGTGAAAAACAAATGACTAAGGTTAGTTTAAAGTGGAGTGGGGTGCATTTTTCTCGCAGTTCAAAGAAAAAATTTGAATTCAATAATCGATATAGACTGCGTTAACTAACCCGTACAGTTATGAATAATTATCAGGTTGGTTGGTTTGCAGGAATTCGATTGGTTACAGGTCTGATCATGAGTTGGCATCATTTAGAGAGTCATTGGAGAACTAGTCAGGGAGCACTGGGTAGCTGTTTCGTCCTATTCTGTGAATCTTCATCAGTACGCGTCTACGGGGTTCCGAACCCGGGGCTTTTCTCACACAAAGTGAGTTCGTGGATCATTCAGCCACTGGGACCCCATCCAATAGCCAGCTCATCAATTCCAACTTCTGTCATTTCGTGATATATGTAGCGCAACCGCCAGCTAATATCATGGGCGGGTGACTATTCTCTTACCAGTTTTGTTTGACGCAGGTTTTCCAATGGTTTTGTAACACAACCAGTCGTGAATAAAACATGATATGGTATCTCCATCTGACAATCATCTGAATTTCTGCCTAGGCACTGTAATCAATATGTTGCATTTCAAATATCTCAAGTATTGGTCCATAAATTCTTGGTAATTTTGAGAATTTGTGTGATTTTTAATTTAAAGCACGAGTCGACATGCGTTAGAGAACAGCTATTTGGTCCTAGTTTGCAACTACTCTCCAGTGTGTATACACATGACCCTAGTGAGGTTGGGAACGATACAACTCACGACCTTCAGGCCATGAAACCAGTTTACTGACCGTTCATCCACTGGAACGAAACCCGATAACTCGTGAATTCTGTCTGTCTGTCTGTTTTCGACATAGAACTTTGCACAAATGTGCGGAAGTTCAAGTCGCCACATTCCGTGTAGCACGCGAAGCAAGAGAAGAAAGTACAAGAAAAGCATAATAGAAACAGTGAGGAGAGGTGTGAGACAAAGGAGTAATAAAGAAATACAAAACAGTTTCATTGAAGATCATAAGTCACAGGGAGTGGATGCATCTACGCCACTGAGAACGATTTTGAGCCATGTCACCAATTGTTTCCAACCATAGATTTTTACCGTCCCGAGGACCCCAGCCTGGAAGTCTACACCTTCCTACGTGGCTTAGACCAACTGTTGTGGTTTTCATTGACTGATGCCATGTTTTTGTTTGACCGCCGCTAGCTTTTTTCCAGCCTGACCCTATATCCGCTAACATAGCTCGTCGAGGGAGGCGATGACTTGGCATACGTAACACATGTCCTAACCATCTCAGTCTTTGTAGCTTCACGACTTCGTCGATTGATTTCCCCTGTTTACCTAGAACTCTACGCCTAACCTCCATGTTGCTCACCTTATTATGCCACTTTACACGGAAAATAGAACGCAGGCACCTATGATCAAAGACAGCTAGTCTTTTCATGTCTTCCACTCTGAGTGGCCAGGTCTCACAACCATAAAGGAGGACGGAGCGGACTGATGAGCAGTACACCCGCCCTTTGGTCGATAGTCGAACATCTCGTCTACGCCAGAGTCGGCGTAAACTGGCAAATGCGAAACGAGCCCCTTGTATTCGTGCTGAGATTTCGTCAGAGATCAGCCCGTTGAGGCTGATGGTACTTCCCAAATAAGTGAAGCGGTCAACGTGCTCTACCACTTCACTTCCTATTTTTAAACTAGGCGTCGATGTAGTCCAGTCAGTCCTGTAACATCATCTTGCATTTGGCGGGAGCGAACTCGTGAATTCTAACTTCTACCGATTTGTGCCATCACCAGACAACTTCGTCCTGTGACCAGACACTGGCGACTGCCATATATTGATTCTCAAGTGTTAGTTCGCAACCGTCCAGTGTCCCTATTGGTTCCCAATGGATCTCTAAGTGATGTTAATTCGTGACCTGACTTGAAGTCAGTCGACGCCCACAAATCAACCCTTGTTCAATGTGAAAGAAATTAGTTCTGTCTGCAAGTTGAATATCATTCGGAACAATCTTCTACATCCACCTGGTATATTGCGTCAGACAGTGTGAAACGAGAAGACAGGGATATCCTGGATCGACGTGAAGAACCTAGAAGACCTGGATTTCGCTCGTGGATGATTTATGTTTGATGTCACACAAAATCGAAGACTTACAAGCGAAAACCGACAAACTGATCGAAGAAGTAGCAAAGACAGGACTCCAGGTAAACATACACAAGATGGAGGTTATGAAAATAACCAACAACAACAACATCTACAGCAGCAACATCCAGCGCCAATCACCATCGACGGGAGGGATCTGAAAGAGCTTACCTCATTCACTTATCTAGGGAGCGTTGTCTCAACTACAGGAAGTCGGAATGGACGAGGATGTCAAATCGAGCGAGAAACACATTCATCAACCTGAAACCAATCTGGAAATCTTCGTCACTCAGCCACCATCAACAACAAAATTCAGTCGTATTTTCAATACAAGCAACGTCAAGTAAGTCAATTCTTCTATACGAATCAGAAACTTGGCAGGTGGTCACAAAGAATATTTCCAACAGCCTGTTGCAGACCTTTATCAACAACACACTGCCTTCGCTGGCTCTATACTGAAAATCAGATGGCCGGGCCGGAAACAATCACCAACAAGAAACTATGGGATGAAACAAAACAAGAACCAGTGCCAACCAACAAATATGCAGGAGATGGATTGGACACTCACTCGATGAGGAGGCCGCTGGGTGACATCGTGCGCGCGTCAGGCCATTGCTCAAGTGGAACCAGGTCGAAACGGAAGCGGCGAGTGGGACATGGAGGAGGTGGTTTGAAGAGGAGTTGAAACAGTATGGACTAACATGGATGGATGCAGGTGAAAAGTACAGCAGCAGAAGACAGAAGCCAGTGGAGACGTGCAGTTGAAGCCCCATGTTCCACTAGGAACCCAAGGGAACAATAATAATAATAATAATATAAAGTTTTTATTAAGATTAAGGTAAATCCAGCTGACAAGTCTTAAATGTGACGAAGTGCTTGTAATGGATTCCACTGCTAACCACCACTGAACATGTAACTCCTAGTTAATAGTTTAATAAACTGTTAGTGCATAACATCAAAGACTTACTATCATTCTGTCAAAACAATCTTTCTGACCACTATTCATCTATTTTATGTTTGAATTTCAATTTGTCTAGGTATAATATCTACAGTTCTCATAAAGTCTATGTCACTTACATATTATTACTTTGTAGTAATGCAGTACTGGTGGTTAGGTTCACCATCACACTGTACTCAGAATTGTTGTTATTAGAAGGTTTCGTGCGTGTTGGTACTTACTAGTCAGTAAGGAGTATCGGCAATCTTGAACGTCACACAACCTTTGACCATATTGCAAACTTGGCTCATAGAATCCAATCCATAGCAATCAATGGACTTACTAGTACCCTAGTGTTCAATCAAAGTATCTAATACGGTCCCTAGAGGAGGGGGTCAATCGCTAGGCCGAATAGCTCAGTGGTGATAACGTCTCTGACTGCAGCAGAGGAGAGGGATATGAGTTTCTTCAAGATTGCAGACACATCTTGATGACTGACGAGTACTGACGAACACGAAACCTATGTACGAGGCTTCTTGTGAACGATTGCCTCCCATTATCTTCATTGGGTGTTTTATAACTAATTTCTAACATTCTAACGTATGTTTAGCTTTTCAGCTGGCGTAAAGTTACGTGGGCTGCTTGATAAGAAAGTTACTCCACATAGATGATGACTGTTTTTTCACCCCCTGAAAGCTCTGAAATCAATAAACTCAGCTTAACACCTCTTACCTCTATTTCAGATGTTGAATTATCCTGGATATTTTTCACAATTTTTTTCTTTCTCATAAATATCTACGCAGATGTCAAAAATATTCAACTCATCGTCTGTTCTCCTATCACCAATCGACTATCCGAGTGCATCAACTGTGACTAGATGTTTTAAAGGATTTTTCAAAGCATGTCTACCGAATGATTCGAATAGGTCGAAATCGGCGGCAAAACTTCTGTCTGCGGCAGCAACCACCGCTGGTGTATCATTGGATCATGCGTCGTCTAACAACACAACTGGAAATAGTGCTACATTAGGATCACATTTCACGCATACCAGTCATCATAGCCAACAGCTTAACAATAATAATAATAACAGTGGGGAGAATGTAGAGTCAGAGTCCATTTCAACGTCAACTGCGACAAACATTAATAACGCCAAATTAATGAATGTATTCACAGAAGCTCATGAAAATGGTTGGTTCACCTATATGAAGTCGTTATTGGAGCTGGCTGGCACAGTGGTAGATTTATTAGATCTACAAGGGGCTAGTGTAGCACTGTGTCTAGAAAATGGCAGTGATATTGTAGCTCAAGTAAGTGCTGTGTACATCTTTATACGATCAGATCATAGTCAGTACAGTTTTTCAAGTATTGGTTTTGTAGGGATTTTTTGTTTGATTGAATGGAGGCTTTCATCATATGCTGACATCAGTTAGAGAACCACTGGAAAACCAACTGGGAGTACTGGACAGTTGTTTCGTCCTAGTTACCGGGACTTCATCAGTACGCACCCACCCACCGGGGGTCGAGCCGAGGACCTTCTGGTTACAAGGCGAGCTATCTCATAGACCATTAAGGTACTGGGACCCGATCCAATGGTCCTTGAATTATAATTGTGGCGAGAGCAGCCTGCTAGCCAATTGGTTGACATTAATCTACGTCAATGTCTAGGTCACTAATATGGGCCGTGAGAAAATATGAACAAGGCTGTTTCAACAACCAATCACAGAAAACTTAAACGTGGGCGAATATGATTCGCAGATAGATGGCTCCACTTTCCGAGGAACTCGAAAACAACCAATCAGCAGACTGCGTTTGTCTACTTGACTAGGCTATAATAATGTGTGTGAAATTTATATAAATACGTGTTGATTTTCGTAATAAAACGATCTGTTGCCTGGCCCTTGTCTTCTGTTGTTACATAATTTCTGCCAATTCACGACATAGCGCGACCATTTCGCAATGTCTTCCTTGATGAGTTACTGCTTCATCTTCAACCTGCTTTCGGAAGACGTGACCAATAGGTTACAGCAGGTTAAAGATGTGGCAGTAACTCATTAAAGAAGACATTGCGAAATGATCGCGCTATGTCGTGAATTGACAGAAGTTAGAATTCAAGAACCATTGGATCGGATCCCAGTGGCTCAATGGTCTACGAACTCGCCTTGTAACCAGAAAGTACAGTTTTTATTGTGTCTTTTTTTAATCTTTAATGTGGTTTTTGCTGAAAATTGACACAAAAAAATGGTGACTGATGGTTATTGGCCACTGTTTAACTCAGATTATCAGATGATTTAATGAATTAACTTATCTGTGCTACTGATGAAACTTAGCATTGACTGGAGGAATGAATTTTATGACATAGTCACTGTAATTTACGACTGGGGAAGCTGATTAATCTAGATAAGCTTTAAGATGATCTTGTCACTAGAAGAGGTGTTCAGACAGTCGTTAGTTTTAAGACCACTCAAAGGTAGAATCAGAGGAAACTGTTGACGAACCAGACGAATTAGCATCTGGATTTCATAGATAAGTAAGTTGTCAAAGTGCATGGTGGATAATCTATAGGTCGCTATTGCTTCGTCCGATGACATATACTGAGATTTTTAACACTGATCTTATATAGCCCATGTTAGTTATAACTATCTGTTGCGCGAAGAATGGTTAGCACTTATCACATTGTCAAGGCGGAAATAAAGAAATCGCGCTAAGAATAGTATTAATAGTAGTGGCAGAAAGTAGTAATGAAGCTTAAGGAATTATGAAACAGACAGATAATTAATTACCAAAAGAACTTTGCCTACTTGTGGAAACATGTTGTCTGTTGGTACTTCTCGAATTCCCTGCACTACTGAAGTAGTTGATTCGTTCTTGACGTACATGAAGAATAAAAGAAAACAGACTAGTTTTGTGTAACCACAGAGCTCGAAGGATGAAGCTGTGTGTCGTTGCAATTTGTTGAGTTTTGTGCGTACGATAAAAACCTCAAGCCTAACCACACTGTACTTTACACCAAAACCTCAACTGATATGTGCGATTTTCAGAACTTACATTTTGTAACCTCCCCTCCCTGCTAAGAGTGGGAAGACAACAGTAACCTGCTTGCTGGTCAGATGTGTGGAACACCTTGCTCCTTTTACATCTCTTTCTGCCAACAGTCTTACTTCTCCTTCAGATTTCTCCATGGTCTGAGTAACTTTGACGAAGGTATTTGCTGTTCTCAGTCTAACCTGTAACTATGCCACAACCAGTAAAGCATTTTGGGTTAGCGGTTGATTGACCGAGTGAAGTGGTTGAGCGTGTTCACCAGTTCACCTATTTATCGAGCTACATCTACCCTAATGGACTGAATGCTGATGCTATCTCAATGTGGATAGAAAAGGCACATCGAGACACTGCAGACCAATGGCTGGAGACTGTTGGTAGTGGTGACAGAGTTCAGATGTATTCAATTTTTGTAATCTCCAGATTCATTAATTCCTCATGTTTTCCCATGTAACCAGTCTTTCTTCTGTAGACTTGTACTGAAGATTATACTTCTTATGAATCACTTTTTTCTATCTCTGTGTGCTATGAAATGGAGTGTGGCAATTGGAAGTCCTGCACTTCTGTTTAAACTTCTGCGTTGAAACTCCATCATTCAGTCAAAGGGCGTATGTACGCTCCGTCCTCTCTCCTCACATACGATCCGACGCATAATGCAGTCGTCCACTACAATTAGGAGTATCATCGTTGATAAAAGTGTACCCTTATCTTTCTCCTCTATTTAATTCGAACGCCTCGATGAGTTTTCCGTTGTGTATAGCTATCGAATTACTTCGATAAAAATTTGGTGCACTCCATAGTGTTGCAATGGTTTACAAATTAATTCGTGGTCAATGCTGTCAAAGGCGTTTTCAGAGTTGAAGTTGAGGTAGAGATTTAACCGCTATTCTATGTTTTGTTCTGTGATGACGATGCATAGAGCTGAAATTTGATCCGCACATGATTTCTCTATTCTGAATCAACCGTGTTCTAGCAAGCAGAGTCCTGCATCCACTGCTTCTTTTATTCTCTCCAGGATGACACTACTTAAAAGAATATTAATATCAGTGTACAAAGTATTCAGCCGATTCAATTATTGAGCATGTAAAGATGAAGGCTGTTATTATTATTATTATCACGTTATTAAATAGAATATTTGTGAAGGGGCAAAGATTGTTATTAAGCTTGTTAGTTAATGTAGAAATAGTTATACAAGAACATTTTACAGATAGGAACGAAGGTTGCAAATCGATCAAAGATGTAAGATTATAACAGTACTTATTACATAAGAGTTAGTTTAATAATTTAATTGAACAGAGGTATCGAAGAATAATCAGGTCCAGAATCTGGATTAGGACAAAATTCATGGTAAGAAATTGCAAAGATAACGCGTACATATAGCCACCATGATATAGTGAGATTAACATCAGTATCTTTCTGAATGCACCATTTAGTGGCTGCTGATTCACAGTAGTACACACTTATCTGTGAACTAATCTGAACTTTGATTTATCTAAAGTGATTTTTATAAATTTCAATTACCTGATCACTATCGATCTAGCAGGTGGTGGATGGCGATAACACTGCTAAAGGCTAATTGACAGAATGACTAGTTTCAACCTAGAACTTTGCACCGATGCGCAGCAGTTCGAGTCACCATACTTCACTCAGCACACAAAGCAAGAAAAGAAAGTAAAAAGAAATGCAAAATAAAGACAGTAAACAGAGATATGAGACAAAAAGAATAGTAATGTGGAAGAACTATATAGTTTTTATTACATATTATAGGTCACAAGGAGTGGATCCACCTGCACCAGCCATTGAGAACGATTTTGAGCTATATCACCAATTGTCTCCAACCTTCATTGGTTTTTACCGTCCCGAGGACGCTAACCAGGAAGTCTACACCTTCCTACATGACAGCTGGAGTAAATTAACTGTTATGGATTTCATTGATCGATGCAGCCATGTTTTGGTTTGACCACCAGTGGCTCTTTTCCAATCGGACCCTATGTCAGTTAATATTGACCGTCGAGGAAGGCGATGGCGAGGCATGCGTAACACATATCCTAACCATCTTAATCGGTGGAACTTCACAGCCTTGTCGATTGATACGCACTTCTTACCTAGCATTTGACCGACTCCTACCCTCATTATTGCTCACTCTGTTATATCACTTCACACAGTAGATAGAATGCAGGCACCTCTGATCGAAGACAGCTATCCAAGCTTTTCATGTCTCCTACTTTCAATGGTCAGGTCTCACATCCATAAAGGAGGACGGAGTGGACTGCTGGAGTTTCAACGTAGAAGTTTAAACAAAAGTACAGGACTTTCAATTGACACACTCCATTTTGTGGCACACAGAGATAGAAGAAAGTGTAATTTAAAGGAACTATAATCATTAGTGGAAATGTACCGTAGAAAAAATGGTTCTATGAGAAAACATGAGGAATTAATGAATCTGAGATATTACAAAAATTGAATACATCTGAACTCTATCACCACTACCAACAGTTTCCAGCCATTGGTTTGTAGTGTTTCAATGTGCCTTTTCTATCCACTTTGAGATATCATCAGCATTCAGTTCATTAGTGTGGGTACAACTCGATAAATAAGTGAACTGATGAAGACGCTCAACCGCTTCACTCTCCTGTCTTTAAACTAGAAGTCGATGCAGACCACTCCTACAGCATCGTCATCATCTTAAATCTGAACAATTTTTCACCTTTCACGTACAATTTCTTAGGAATATGCTCAGATATGCAGTCTCACAAATCCTCTTTCCATTTGTTTCTATTGTGTTTTAACTTTTCGAATATAATTTAGTGGTCACAATCATAGCGGAGTATTCACACAGCTTCATTTCATTATTTAATTCTAATGACTTATCAGTTACTCTCTTGGCTTTATTCTATAAACATCTAAGTCAACCAGCCTTTACTGAATTTGTTTGGGAGGAATCAAAGTCTAAGTGTTGATTAAAATGTGTCGTTTTGCTATAGATGCTAGTTTTTTAACCCACTCTCCGGTTTTCTTTTTACTTAACAGTCTAGCATAGAATAACCTCACCCTGTTCGATTACTTAACTCAAAAGTGAATTGGATTCACCTACTGCTGAGTTTATATGTGTGTTAAGAAGTTAAGGATATATGAACATGAAATTGTCAGGAGCCTGTACCTGCTCTCATCCATGTATATGGGTAGTTGTGTGAGTCTTGGTGGAGGTGTGACAGAGGAGATTTCTAATCGTTTAGTGAAAGCTAGGGTGGTATATGCCAATTTGAGTGAGCCACCTATAGCGCCCTGGCCACGTCAGCTCGGTTATCTAAGGCTGAGTTTGAAATGCTTCGGTGCTCTCAGTCTTGCGTCATTGGCACAGTGCTTAGGACTCTCGCCGACCATGCACATGTTCCCATGTTCCATCCCCTCCCGACGCACACCTGATATCTATGGTCGGCCTGCAAAATTTGGGCTACCGATATCACATGTTGAAAATTCCATACTTGTACGAAAAATACAGTGCGGAATCAAGCTGTAATCAAAAATAAAAAACCTGGTGTCTCCGAGCAGAAGATGTGCAGCAACTTTGTGTACTCGACCATTGCTTTCTCCTTGGAATTGCTTGCGTTCTATGGTATCATAGTGTGAGTGGTTCTAATGGCTGTTAATGTGTGTTTGAACACATTGGAGACCACCATTCATTCATTGAGTGTCATCATCTAGAAACACCGACTTCATTGCTTTAGATATGTGTTACAAAAATCATCTCAGAGGTTTCCTACCGCTTTTTGTTTGCCAGTCCTGGGAGTGGACATAAAAAGCAGTAGAGACATGGTGGTCAGCCTATGACGTGGCGCCCTGGGATGAAGGATATTTGTGTTAGGTTAGCTGGAATCGATTGGTACATCACAACTCCGTTGGTTAAGGTCCGGAGAAATAACTCGAATCTATGGCTCAAAACGTTATCGGATACGGCTAATAAATGCAATCAATAGCGAACATGCCGAAATTTCCTTCTTTCTTCCTTTTCTAACAGTAATTCAACAGGTGCTGTCGGGGCACATCAAAGATATTTTCTGCCCTCCTGGATGAAATCCTTTATTCATTCTCTGCCTACTTTCTTTATATATTGTTGTTTTATTATTATTGTGTGGCACATCTTCATGGTGGATACATTTCACCAGGTTCTGTGTTTTAAATAAATAATAATTATAATAATAACGAGGTTTCGACTATTAGGGTGTCCGAGGGTAGCATTTAAGAGGTCGTGCGATTAGGAAATCAGAGTCTGTGGGCAATCGTAGGACTAGCTAAAGAGGGACCCCAGTGAATAGGACAACGTGGAGACGTTCTGTTAAAGCCCTATGTTCCACTTGGAACCCAAGGGAACAGTAATAATATCAAATAAACATCCTGTATTATATGAAGTAAATTGATCTAACATGAACTTAAATCCCACCATAGTTACCTGAATTCTAAACCTACATAAATTTATCATTATCATTATTTTTCTATTCATCGGATAATATTTTGTTGTTATTTTTTTCTAAAAATTTTTATAGATTGTATCACTTGTGCAAGTTATGCTTGATCCTTACTATCGGACAATAGCAGGATTTTGGAGTTTAATTGACAAAGAATGGTTAATATTTGGGCATACCTTTAACCAGAATTTAAATCAAACCTCATCAACAAAATCGGGTAGTATATCACCGATTTTCTTACAATTTCTTGACGCTGTCCACCAACTGTTAAGACAGTTTCCCTTAGCCTTTGAATTCAATGATTACTACTTACGCTTTTTAGCCTATCATCATATATCGAATCGTTTTCATAATTTTAAATATGACTCAGAATTTGAACGATTTACAGTTTGGTTTCCCGATCTAATGGAGAGTTTAGCAAATAATAGTAAATTTGGCACAAGTATTGTATCAAAAATCGACGATCACCTATTGGAATTGTACCGTTCACGATCGATATGGCCATTTATTCAACAACAACACTATGAATGGCCAGTATTCTTCAATTTCCGGTATTCACGTAAACTTGGAGAAAAGGTAAGTGATGACTGCAGTAGTGTGTGTGTATGGGGGTGGGTGGGTGTAATAGCACTTTACATTATTTCTTTTGAATATTTTACATTTGATACCTTAGTTACTGTGGAGTATTGTCCAATATGGCGTCTGTGATTCTCAATGCTGCTGACTGAATATTGTCAATCAATTCTGTCAGTGTCCTTGCCATTGTTACTCGAATAAAACTCCCCATGATTTAACGTAAAAGTCTTGCCTGATTCTTTTCAATCTATCAGTAGTAGGGCAAGTCAATCGATGACACTGTGTGCGAAACTACATCGATTTAGATGACTACGATACATATAACACGTCGAGACACCGCCTACGTCGACATAGCTATGAGGTTGGAAAAGAGTTATAGGGTGATCAAACCAAAACTTAAAGTCAATCGATTAAGTCTTTGACAGTTACTTTAATAATAATAATAATAATAATAATAAGGCTTTATATCAAATGAAATCTCGACATAATGCAGAAATTTTCAGCGTTCCAAAATATCTCTTCCTCGTACAGGATTTACATGTTAAGTAATAGTCTGGAGTATGTCATGTGACATTGTGTTGTTGCATATTGAAGGGAGGACCGATTCTGTACACTTTTCTTTCAAGAATTGCACAGTGTTTCGTTGAAAGCTAATTAAATATGTGCGCGAATTCATGTAGTGATCATTTGATATAATTGTATGATGAAAACAATGAGAAATGCTGAAGAGTTCAAACGTTTTGGTGGATGGAAACTCTGGTAGTCCATTGATATAAACAGGCCGCCTTTCTATCCACGTTGTGAAGTGGAGACTGTCTGATTGAGGCAGTCAGGATGCTAAGAATCAATACCTTGAGGAGAGAATGTTGGTGATATGACTCGAAATCGTTGTCCGTGGGCGCAGATTCATGCTCTGTTTTTGAATCTTCGCCTCCTTTTCTCTAATTTTGTTGTGGTACACATCGTGGACTGTGGCAACTTGAAGTGCTTCACTTCTATCCGAAGTTCTGCGTTAAAACTCAATCAAGTCATCTCATCACTTTTTATTATTTGCACTTCCTGTTTCTTCTCGAAACGTTGTGAATTTATTCACTTCTCCCCCAAATGTTGTGTAATTTATATTTTCAGTTTAATATTCAACAATTATTCATGATTACTATCAAGTTTCGATAGTGTTATATATATATATATATATATATATATATATATATATATATATATAAGCCAAATAAGTCAGTGATTATAGTCCATCTACACGTTTATTGTAAAATGGTGTCGACTGTTAGATACAACGAGACGATTAGCATAAAGTCCCCTTATCCCTTCTCTCTATATTCTACCAATAAACTACTAGACGTTGTCACGAATAAACCACTGAAAACCAGAGGACACTGAACAACTGCTTTATCTTAGTCTGTGACTCTTCAGCGGTGCGCGACCATGATCCAACTGGGATTGGGGTCGGACTTAGAACTTTCAAGTTAGGAGGCTATCTCATTAACTATTCATTCACTGACTCGAAATGTAATGCCTCATGAACTGTAACTTGTCTAAGTATACGGTGTTGAAGATCCCCACACTAGGACGAAGTGTTTGTCTCCAGTACTCTCTAGCTCTCAATGATTCTCTAATTGATGTTGCTTCGTGACAAAATGTAAATCGGAATAAGTCCAAATCCTTACAGATCATACAATCTGAAAGTCAACATGATGCTTGTCAGACAATCTGCATATGATGGTTAATCGAAATTCATTTGTTATAGTTTTCAACTACTGTATAACTTTTCATATTGTCCCAACCACCTAATAATAACTTATTTTTGTGTTTCTTTTCCTCATTTATGTTTGTTTTCTTTTTGTATTCCTACACAATACACTAAACAGGTTCTTAGACCAGCGACAAATATGGCCTCGTTTGATTTATGGCAATTTTATTTAACTGAAGATTTAGCCTGTGGACCAATCTATGATCTGGATCATTTTTCACCGAGCTACCGTAAAAGTACTAATCGTCCATATGAACCTGTACTACGACAAGGATTTAATAACAGTCATATAGTTAGTTTTCTGTTTGTTTGATCTATGTAGACTTTCTCGTTAATTAATAATGTTTTTCTACAAAAATTGCCATATCATGTAATTGAGCACGCATAATTCAAGAAAGAAGTCTCTTTTCGTGGCTTCATATCGCAGTTAAGACGGGAGAAAATACAGTTCGGCTTATGTACTGTCATTGGGGACTTGTCCTTTTGTTCTCTGTCAAACCTCTGCCTTTCTCGAAGATTGCATGACATATCAGAGGTTTACAAATTATTATCCCTGTTCGTCCTATTTTCTGCTGACCTTACGACTTCCCATAATCTTTGGTCTCCACCATGTCATCCTTTGAATGCCCCATTTTTCGCTTCCATTCGGGTTCCACTCGAGCAATGGCTAGGCGCACGACGTCATTTGACAGTCTCTTTAGTTTATGCCCAATCCATTCCCACTCCTGTATTTTTGTTGAACACTCGGCTCTTGATCAGTTTGTTCCCATAGTTTCTTGTTGTTAATTCCTTCTGGCCATTTGGTCTTCAGAGTAGAATGATAGCAACTATTGTTAAAAGTCTGCAACTTGTTGGATATGCTTTCCGTGACGCGGAGTGCTAGTATCTGACCCATGCAGAAGAACTGACTGATTTGACATTTGTCTTGAAAATCTGAATTTTGTTCTTTGTGCTTCTGAGTCTGTTCTGTCTGTCTGTTTTCGACATAGAACTTTGCACAAATGTGCGGAAGTTCAAGTCGCCACATTCCGTGTAGCACGCGAAGCAAGAGAAGAAAGTACAAGAAAAGCATAATAGAAACAGTGAGGAGAGGTGTGAGACAAAGGAGTAATAAAGAAATACAAAACAGTTTCATTGAAGATCATAAGTCACAGGGAGTGGATGCATCTACGCCACTGAGAACGATTTTGAGCCATGTCACCAATTGTTTCCAACCATAGATTTTTACCGTCCCGAGGACCCCAGCCTGGAAGTCTACACCTTTCTACGTGGCTTAGACCAACTGTTATGGATTTCATTGACTGATGCCATGTTTTTGTTTGACCGCCGCTAGCTTTTTTCCAGTCTGACCCTATATCCGCTAACATAGCTCGTCGAGGGAGGCGATGGCTTGGCATAAGTAACACATGTCCTAACCATCTCAGTCTTTGTAGCTTCACGACTTCGTCGATTGATTTCCCCTGTTTACCTAGAACTCTACGCCTGACCTCCATGTTGCTCACCTTATTATGCCACTTTACACGGGAAATAGAACGCAGGCACCTATGATCAAAGACAGCTAGTCTTTTCATGTCTTCCACTCTGAGTGGCCAGGTCTCACAACCATAAAGGAGGACGGAGCAGACTGATGAGCAGTACACCCGCCCTTTGGTCGATAGTCGAACATCTCGTCTACGCCAGAGTCGGCGTAAACTGGCAAATGCGAAACGAGCCCCTTGTATTCGTGCTGAGATTTCGTCAGAGATCAGCCCGTTGGGGCTGATGGTACTTCCCAAATAAGTGAAGCGGTCAACGTGCTCTACCACTTCACTTCCTATTTTTAAACTAGGCGTCGATGTAGTCCAGTCCTGTAACATCATCTTGCATTTGGCGGGAGCGAATCGCATGCCAAACATTCGTAGATAGCGGCTCAAGGTGCTTCTGAGTGCGTAAGATTTCCAAACTGGGTTCAGATTGATTCAGGTTTTAACATCGCCATTCGTGCTGTCACCTGTGGTTGAAAAAATACTTGCTAGATAAATGAAGGAAGTAAGCCAGTCTATAAAGTAAGACAGTCAGTCTGACTGTCAGTCTGAAGTAAGACAGTCTATAAATCTACAGTGTTAACTGACAGAAGAAGTGGAGTGAAGTGACATGAAGAAATCTCATTGACTGACTTATATCTTCTCATTAATGTCTTCGTTTTTCTCTTACTATTTCAACTATGAAAATTAGAATTAATTATTCTAATGGTAGTTAGTAAGTATGAATGCTGATATTGATCTACTATTGTGTATAGAGACCTTTGAATCCCTACAACACCAGACTATTTTATCATAATCAGCGGCTTTATACAATATTATACCATGATGTGGTGAAGATACCATCAAAATCTGAAAAAATGTGAACAGAAGATTGTAAATCTCAGGTTAAATTTACTATCAGCCTAACCGAACCGCTGAGAATAATGTTCTGTCATGCGGATAAATAGTTACCTGTCTGTAAATCGTTCACATCAGTAAGAGAATCATTGAAGACTATGGAGTGCTGTAGAGGCGTTTTGTCTTAATTTCAGACTCTTCAATGGTAGTTAGAATTCACTAATCACTGAGTTGGGTCCCAGCAGCTGAATGGTTTGCAGGCTTACCTTGTAACGGGAATGTCCTGGGTTCGGAACTCACAAACTGGGAGAAGACAGGTGTCCAGTACTCCCCGATGGTTTTCAGTGATTGTGTAACTGCTATCAATCCGTGATCAAACTTGGAACGAATCAAATGGCCTACAAACTAGCTGTTGTAAATTAGTCTGATGCTCTCTAGTGACTAGTGGCAAAATTAAGTTGACTGGATTTCTCAGTGAGAAGTTGTGACCGTGACCAGTGGGGTTCACCATCGAGTTGGGAGTGAGGACAAATACTCGCCGCGGATGACATTGGCTGGGGCCAATCGCACTAAAATCATGAATTGGTAGAAGTTAGAATTCATGGACTGCCCATTGAGTCGCGTCCCAATGACTGAATGGTCTATGACCTTGCCCTGTTACCCGTGACCCCACAAAGGATCGGATCCAAGATCCTTCATACTATATAAGGCGACCAGCTTTTACTGGTCCTCCAACTGATGTTTATCTCTGGTCAAACCTGAAATTAATCAGATCCCTACAAAAGTAATACCTGAAAGCGTATTTTTAATACTCATTTAATTCTCTCCTCAAACACCTTGGAATTTGTATATATTCAGTTGTAAGTCTACATTCTAAAGGCTGAGAAACGCTTTTCGCTTGATAAGGCGTGAAAGATACGTTTGACAATTCACCTAGCGAACTGTTCGTATATTTGGAACACTTGGTATAGACATAGTAAGTATAAGTACATGATAGAAACTGATATGGTTCTAAAGTATATGTTGATGCCTTTGGCCTGAGTGACAGGTGAGGATAAAACTGTTGTAAGGTGTTTTCACGCTTAGCATAGCAACCAAACGTAACATCTAATATTGTGATTACAGCATTCCTCTAGGCACAAGTAATGCAAAATCACACTAATCTGAGGAAATTCAAATGTTAACTGACCGCCTCCAGTCCACTTATTAATGTATATTAAAACAAAAGCGCGGCAAGTATGTTTTCTTATAATCGTAATACTCATCCATAAATGACACCTGCAATTCACCTGTAGTTTTTTTTGGTACTGTTTTTCTACTCTACAAGTGTTCAAAAATAATCAAGAGTTAATTTACTGTGTTCTTCTTTTTCACACTCCTCACACACACACAACAAGGAACAAACATATGCTGTTTTAGGACTGCGTGAAGGTGAAGAAGCCATTGGTTGGCAAGAGACATGGGAACAAGCTCAATCTGAAATGCTCAGTCCATATTCTCCTTTATCTCCTCCAACGAAACATTTAGGTAATCAAAATAAAAAACCAGTCAAAACTATCCGACCAATTACAAACACTACCGGTCCTGCCTCTACTACTGCTGCTTCTGCTGTCGCTACTACTGGTAATTCCATGAGTAGTATGTGCTCAACATATAATACTGTCACGTCTACTACTAATGGTAACACAAGACATGGTGTTAAAGCATTGAATAAATTCTCTCCATTACCATCACGTTTTGGAGATTATAGAGAAGGCAGTGAGCCGACTGAAGGTGCTCTACACCGTAAATTAATGAAATCTGATGATGATGATGACTATGCCATGAGTGGTGCTGCTAGACGACGAGCAATGTCTAGTAGTTTGATCGATATAAATCCTGGCAAAAATACCTTTCAGTCATCAATGACCACGTCTACATCAACAGCTTATCATCAACCGAATGATGATATCACTCAGACAACTACATTAACACCTCAAGGTGTTGGCAGTAGTGATGGTGATTTGTTATGCTCTTCAGAGAATAATACTGTCAGTCCGTTGCACGTGTCTGAATTGAATGTGAATGAGCCATCATCGCATCAATCGCATGTTATTATTGTAAAAGACCTGTCATCAATTGAAAAGGACGACAGAAAGACAAATTCAACTGTCCCAATACGAAACGGTAAAGATTTGTCAAGAGGAGTAGTAACCAATGGAAATGATTCAAAATACTATGGTGTTACAAATGGTGGTGGTGGCTCCCCGAGTAGAAATCGTATCGGTGCAGAGACAAGCATGTATAAGAGTAGTAGTAGTAATCATAATATACCGGCGGCGGGATGTGAACAGATTTCAGAAGATGAAGCATTTCATGAAGGCAATGATGATTTATACGGGGATCGATATGATGACTCAGTAGATGAGTCATCATTGGATAATGATAATCATTTTACACGTCATGCTATTTTAGAATATCATCGGACAGCTACATTGAAGAGGTTAACACGTCGTGCAGGCGGTGGTGGCGGCGGCGGTACGCAGCATACTCATGATCACAAGTTGACCAACGGATTGACGCCTAGTTATCGAAATATTATTATTGAGTATGAATCGGATAGTATAACCAGCATTGGAACTGGTGCGGGTGGTGTCAATATCAATTCACCTGTACAAGATGAAGTAAGTCAATTTTATTATTATTATTCAAACAGAGTATAAACCACTGTGATTTGGGATATTTTTGATGAGATATTATTATTATCATTGTTCCCTTGGGTTCCTAGTGGAACATAGGGCTTCAACTCCACGTGTCCACTTGCTTCTGTCTTCTGCTGCTGTACTTTTCACCTGCATCCATCCATGTTAGTCCATACTCTTTCAACTCACCTCTTCACATGATCTCCTCCACGTAACCCTTGCACTGACATCCCACTCGCCGCCTCCCTTTCGGCCTGGTTCCACTCGAGCAATGGTCTGACGCGCTCACGATGTCACCCAGCGGCCTCCTCATCGAGTGAGTGTCCAATCCATCTCCTGCATATTTGTTGGTTGGCATTGGTTCTTGTTTTGTTTCATCCCATAGTTTCTTGTTGGTGATTCTTTCCGGCCCGGCCATCTGATTTTCAGTATAGAGCCAGCGAAGGCAGTGTGTTGTTGATAAAGGTCAGTATGCAACAGGCTGTTGGAAATATTCTTTGTGACCACCTGCCAAGTTTCTGATTCGTATGGAAGAACTGACTTACTTGACGTTTGTATTGAAAATACGACTGAATTTTGTTGTTGATGGTGGCTGAGTGACGAAGATTTCCAGATTGGTTTCAGGTTGATAAATGTGTTTCTCAGATGAGATAATAAGTAGAAATTAATGTCATGTGTCTAATCCTTCGTTTGGTATAGACTAAATTCTGCCAGTCAAGTTAGCTCAGTGGTAACGTCTCTCACTGCAGCAGCACTGTGTGGCCCGGGTTTGAATCCTAGAAGGGATATAAGTCCCTTCAAGATTGCAGATATACCTTGATGACTGGTGAATACCAACTAGCACGAAACCTAAGTGTGTTGGTAGAGCTTCCCCTGAATATCTTTTTTATTTTTATTTTATTTTATTTTGATTTGCAGCTTGATTCCGCACTGTATTTTTGGTACAAGTATGGAGTTTTCAGCATGGATATCGGTAGCTCAAATTTTGCAGGCCGACCATAGATATCAGGTGTGCGTCGGCAGGTGATCGAACCTCGGACCATGTGCATGGTCGGCGAGAGTCCTAACCACTGTACCACCGACGCACAAAGGAATTATGTCATCTCCAACCATCTAACAACGATTTAAAATATATATACTTAACCAAAAGATGCTCCATACAAAATATCATAGTTTGCAGCACGAGCACTGGGATACATCTCAGATGCCCAGATCGAAGTAGGTGGTTGTCTTAAGAGGGTCACTCTCTTTCCCCTTAGCCTTTAAGTTGAAATCTGATCCGCAAGGTAGTGTGGAACAGTATCAGGACCTACGTTCCCATGGTTTCCGGTGACCAATTTCATTATGTAGACACATGCTATTTGTATGATCCCATAACCTTATCAAATCCAACAATCTACACTTGGTTTTGTCATCTTTACTAATTGACCAACTCGACAACAACATAAAGATTATCCCATGCTAATGAACAATGATTAATTTGCCACATATATAAGAGGAGATTCTGTTAATTCTGGTTTAATATTACTACTTTGATAAAGAAGCTATTAGCAGCATTAAATAAAATAGTGAAACGTCAGTAAAAAACATCAATATCGTTGTGTTTTTCACTCATTGTTAAATACAAAAGCCCTTTATAATAATGAATATCACATAACCAATGCTCACTGGGGAATACAGGTACATCCAGATGACGAGTCTCCATAAATAGGACGAAATGGGCAGCATTAAATAGCGAGACGTCACTAAGAACATCAGGTCACTAAAACTATACTTATCCAAACTACCAAAGAAAGGAGATTTAATTCAATGCAAAAACTAGCGCGGCAGTATGCTCCTGTCCATCCCAAGCAGAATACTAAGCCACATCATCCTAGAGAGAATCGAACAAGCCCTGGATGAAAAACTTCGACCGGAACAGGCTGGATTCAGGAGAAACAAGTCATGTATTGATCGAATCGCCACACTACGGATCATCATTGAACAAAGCTTGGAATGGCAGTCACCTCTCTATCTCAACTTCATCGACTTTGAAAAGGTCTTCGACAGTGTCGATCGAGAGGTGATTTGGCAACTACTTCGCTACTACGGGGTGACATCGACAATTATACATCTCATCCAACAGTTGTACGACAATGCTGCATGCCAAGTAATCCTCAACGGAAAATTTACGGAATCCTTCGAAGTGAGGACAGGAGTGAGACAAGACTGCCTACTATCGCCCATGATTTTCTTGATTGCAGTAGATTGGATAATGCGACAGACAGCGGGAAATGAGAAAACAGGCATAAAATGGACCCACTTTTACAAAGAACTTGGAGGATCTGGACTTCACCGACGACTTATATATGTCTGATTTCCCACAAACTGGAAGATATGCAAGTGAAAAGCAACAAGCTGGCAGGAGAAGCCTTCAGAGAAGATAGGACTTCAAGTGAACATAGAGAAAACAAAAGTGATGAAGATTCTTGGCCAACACCAACAGCAACAACAACAGACAACAACCAGCTAGCATAAATGGGAGGAACCTGAAAGAAACAACCTCCTTTACCTACCAAACTGAGAAGCATCGTTTCAACTACAGATGGCGGAACTGTTGAGGATCTTGAAGCAAGAATCGGAAACGCAAGACAAGCCTTCATTACTCTTGAGTCTGTGTGGCGGTCAACAGCACTCACCATCAAAAATAAGATCCGGATTTTCAACTCCACTGTGGAGTCAGTGCTACTTTATGGATCAGAGGACCTGGCACCGCATCATAAAGAGCATCTCAAACAAGCTACAGACCTTCATCAAGAGCTGTCTTCGCTCAATACTCAATATCAGATAGCCTGCCAGAAAAGATCAGCAATAGGAATCTCTGGGAGCGAACTAATCCGGAACTGATTGTACAAGAAGTAGGCAGGAAAACATGTAGGTGGATTGGCTGGCCATACTCTGAGGAAACCATCAAGTGACATCACACGCCAGGTTATCGCTCGAGTGGAACCCAAAAGGGAAGCGGCGAATTGGTCGTCAGTGCGAGGGTGACTTGGAGGAGGTCATGTGAAGAAGAGATGAAAGCATGTGGACAGACTTGGAGCCAGGTGAAAACGTTAACAGAGAACTGAACGCAATGGAGACGTGCAGCTGAAGCCCTATGTTCTTCTAGGAATTAAAGGAAATAATAACAAATAATAATTATTATAATCGTTTTGTTTTTCACTCATTAGGAAATACAAAAAACGCTTTATAATAATGAATATTATGTCTTTTCTTTCATATTTTACTCTTATTGTGTATTATTCTCTTGTCTCTCCTCTGTTGTGTGTGTGTAGCCACGAGTGCATAAATTCACTTCATCACGAATAAATAACAATCCTAATCTTTCATGTGAATTATGCCAGAAAAAATGTCAGTCAATAGATAATGTTGTCAAATGCATTGAATGTGATCTCTTCTGTCATGAAAAGTGTTCATCATTAGATTCAAAATGTTTTCCTACGCATATGAATAGTAGTCCTCATCAAAGTGAAACAGACAAAAATGGACATGTGCTATTGAAACGACATGACTCTGCGTATTTACCAAGTGAACTAGACAGCTACAAGAAGGCTAATCATCATCATCATCAGTATGCTGGTGATGATGATCGAGGAAGATCTGCTCCAACTTTTGGTATTACTGGTGGTGGAAGTGGTTTATTCAGTCCAACTCTCCCATGGCGAGGGGAACGTGATCATTCATTTCGATCTTCATTAGTTTTAATGTAAGTTAGTTTATTCTTCTCTAAAGTATTTCTAATTGTTAATTTTTTTGGATTTGATTTACTTCAAGTCTAACCACGGAGTACTGGTTGAGTGAGCATCAGTGAGCGGCCTCACTAGTGACTGACAACAGGGTGAAGTTGCCTGAAGTATTAGTGAGAATTCATGACTGGTTGGAGTCCACCAGGTCGGGTGTGAGGAAAAATGCTCACCCACCGATTGCCATTGGCTATTGGTGGTGGTGTTGAAAGCCGTTGGTTGACAGAAGTTAGAATTGATGGGCCATCGGATTCCGTCCCAGTAATTGGCTAGCTAACGAGCTCGCCCCCTAACCTGAAGATTCTGGGTTTGACCCCTGTGAGTACTAATGAAGAGTTAGTTGTCGAGTAGGATTTCAGAAATTACTGAGTCTAAAATTTTGAGTGATGATTGCAAGGATAAACCAATCCAGCTGGACGTTTTTGACATTCTGTTACCAAGCCAAATCCGTACATTAGTTGAATTCTCTAGAAATACCAAATGTCGTGACCAGTAGGGTGCAGCAGGTCGGATGTGAGGACAAATACTCGCCGAAAGCATTGACTAGGGGTTGCGCTATGTTGTGAATTGGCAGAAGTTAGCATTCATGTGCCATTGGATCGGGTCCCATTAGTGGCTCAATGGTCTACGAGCTAGCTCACTCACCTTGTAACCGAAAGGTCCTGGGTTGGAATCCCGGTGGGTGCGTACTGTGAAGAGTCCTAAACTAGGGCGAAACAGCTGTCCAGTACTCCCAGGTTTTCCAATGGTTCTCTAACTAATATCAGCTGATGATGAAACCCTGAAACCAATCAAATCCCTACAAACCAACACTTGAATACCACATGTATTTCGGGATCGATACCGTTAAGCCGGGTTGTTTGCACTTAGCTGACTGTAGAGATCGTACACGAAAGAAACTAGACACAGCACGACAGCGTACCAAATAGTGCAGGTGCTTCACTGCATACTTTTAGTAAGCTGATAGGAAAGGATAAGTAACCAGAAACTGTGCAGATACGGCGTATCAATCAGTAGCCTAGTGCCTAACAAGGAAACCTGGATGGATTGCGGACATACTGTGAAGGGACCCCAGGTGACGTCACATTTCAGCCTCTCGAGTGGAGCCCGAATGAGAAACGATGCGTCTGACGTTGATATGAAGGAGATCGTGTGAAGGATTGAAAATCCGTGGGTATTCAGTTCGATAGCATAGCATGTGTGAATAATAATATGCATAAAAATGTAATACTAAACTGAATATGTGATTGAATTACAAAGAAGACTTATGCGCCACTCTAAGTTAAAGACATGTTATAATTGCAATGAATTAAGGTAAAACCCCGTCGCCAATTTGTTATAGCTGTAGGGGATTGAATGATGACGTTTTCACCTTATTCTGTCTGCGCCTGAACTAATCTGCCTATCTGCTTGACGTACCTTCCGATTTAGTAAAGCACGCAAATATCAAAAGACAAAGGCTGGACTGTGACTGTGTATTGAAGTGCAACAACGATAAAGAAAGCCATGGTATTTATACATTTTACAACAATATGGACAGCTAACAGCATTTGAAATAATTTATCTTAATAGCCAATAACAAAGTGCGTGAGAGATGATAATATATCATATGTGCGAGGTTGACAGTCAGTAACAAAATGTGTGAGAATGATAATATACCATATATACAAGATTAGCAGTCACTACCAAAATGTGTGAGAATGATAATATACCATATATACAAAATTAACGGTCACTACCAAAATGTGTGAGAATGATAATATACCATATATACAAAATTAAACAGTCAATACCAAAATATGTGGGATCCTATCAAGACAGTTGAAGACAATGATAATTTGTAAGAGGCTTAAAGGTAAAGGGAAGTTGTCAGACCTTTGTCAAGTTAAGGAAAGCTATTGTACGAATTCTTTCTGAACATATAAGTTCAACTTCTTCAGGTAAATTCTGATGGCTTCAGCTACTTTGTAAAAGACGAATTCGTGAGGTGAAATTACGATTAATCGGAATTTAGTAAAATGTAACCTTAAATACCTGTGTAAAATCTCAGCGAAATTGAAATGCGTCATTCCAACATTTCCCGCATTCGGCAAACTAGTCCGAACTTCTTCAGGGAAATTAATAGAGATTTATGTATAAAAAGGACGTCTGTTGTTTCGTCCTAGCTGTCCAGTACTCCCAAGCTTTCCAGTGGTTCTCTAACCGATGTCAGCTAGTAATGAAATCCTGTAACAAATCAATCAAATCCCTACAAACCAACACTTGAAAATTGTATGAGCTACGATCAAAACTTGACCTCAGACTTACAAATATTAGTCTAGTTTTGTCAAACACACTTCAAACCGAGTGTACTTTTCATCAGAATTTTAGTGATTACGTTCGACTAAAAATTCATGGTCGTAGATAACTGAATACGAAAATATGTGTGTGTGTATATGCAGTATATAATGGTGTGTGAGTATTGGTAAACAGCTGTAAAACATTTGTTAACCTCTCCACAAGAAGATACAGACAATCGGGAATTTAGACCAAGTGTGATTAATTAGTAATACATATCCATTTTTATAAAATTTATTAATCAGGATTTGCCATGTATCAGCTAACATCACACCTTCACGTCTTTTCAAACTGTTGGGATTCACCCTTATATGTAGGGCTTCTGCAGTCAGTCTGTCTTTCTCCATACAAACCAAAACCTTTCTGTAGAACCTTAGTCTTATCAAAATCGATTTTGTGTCCCGTTTCTGTCGAAAGGAAGGCAATCACTGATCTGTTTCTGTTATGGACTGGTCGAGAATTTAATAGTCCTGACGCAAGAAGGCGGAAATCAGAAGACCACTAGGTTTGCGATGATACTTCTATTTTCCAAAACACCAGGAGAAGCAAAAGTGGTATCACACCAAAGTAAGTAAGTAAGTAAGTGTAAGTCACACAAATTGTGAGAACAAAACATATATATGACAAAGGTGTGAACAATCATTAGACAGTCTTAACATGAATGGCTAATTATAATGAAGTATCGATCCATATATACATAGCGAAATATAGCAGACATGTCAACAACCACCATATATGGATATATGTCACCAAGCGACGGACTGTCAACAAACACACATATTATATATAATATAAGGAGAATATACATTGTTAAAGGAGACAAGTTCATACAAGTGAAATGGTCACAGACTAAGAGAGCAAACAGAGAGACCAACACACACACACACACACATAAATGTATATATGTGGATACATATCAGTTTCCTAGCTTCTTTAAGTTTGCAGAGGTCTTTGGAACCAGTCTTAGGCATCGTGTATACTCTTTCACTATTACATTTACCTATCTGGAAGTTTCTTTAACATATATAGCGTTACAATCCCCACAATTCATCTGGTACACAAATCGTGTTGGTTTCCTTAATAAATACCTTGTTAACATTGACTTTGTGTTCAGTATCTATATAAGGTGAGCTAGAGCACAGCTACATGTAGACTCAGTTTGCTTAGAAATCTGATGAAGAACATGCCTCTAATTGTATGCCCCATGGAGTAACTGTCTTCAAAGTAGAGGGGGTGGGTGGGTGGGTGGTAGAGCAGTCAAACCTGTAGTGTAGAAATGTACTCATTTGTTAATATTTAAAATAACGCCTACATCTATCTGATTGATTTTATCGTTATTATTCTTCATTTTCTTCTTTTAATCCATATTATATATCAAAAAAAAAAAAAAATAGACAAGATACTCGTGGAAAACGTAAACTAAGTGAAAGTTCTTCATCTGTAGCCCAGACTAATACCCTGTCTGATACTCAATCTCAAAGTGGAAGAAGTTTATCCGGTGGTGGTGGTGGGGTGGAACAGAATTACCAAAACACTTAGCTTCAGCATCCTATTATGGTTATTTGTATAAATTAGGTCATCGTAAATTTTTACAACAATGGAAACAACGATTGTTTGCATTGGATACAAATCGACACCAGCTGAAATATTATGAAAGTTATGCCAATTCATCACCACGTGGGTGTATTGATTTACAAGATGTTAGATGTGTGAAAATTGTTCGAAATTTCACCCACCAGCGTAAATCAACTTCGTTTGTTGTATTTGAAGTAGGTTGAACGGTGAAATTTTTTGTTTTCAATGCATGTGTGTCCATGACTTCATTGTATCTAACTGATTATTATTATTATTATTATTATATGATGAGAGTAATACATCAGGGTTAGGCAGAGACTGCTAGCCCGACCGAAATCTGCTACCTTGACGTGGTGGTCGGGCTTGAACAACAACCCGACAAGCTATACTGGCTGAGACTTATGTCGCTTGAGGTCCTACCATGCCAAAAAGGTTGTTTGGATAGCGGTTAGACAAAAAGCAGCTACCCAATCCAATGCTATGACTCAAACAAAATCACAAAATATCGTGTGGATCGGTCGGGGCCCGGATTAACAATGACCGCGCTTCCTGCTGCTGTGTCACAGAGTAGGAGTGATAAATATGCTACTGAGACACACCAAACAATAAAGAACAAACAAAAACAGGCCAGGTGTGACCGGCCTCAAGCAGTTTTCCCCTTGGCTCTGCGGTCACGCAACCAAATTCCACAGTGTGGACAGCCAGGAAGTAACAATCGCCTTCACAATCCAATGCAATCCGGAGACTGCTAGGTAAGAAGAGGGGTAGCTAATCGCTGAAGTTTTAAAGCTGCATCATTTGAGATGCCTATGACACGTACTGCGCATGTCAATCCACAGTCTCCCTCAACGGGCAATATGTTAGCTCACATAGGATTATAGTCAGAAAAGAGTTAAGCGTGGTCAAAGCAGAACCTGACATCAGTCTATGAAGTCTTTGACAAGTGTTTTTAACCAGCCAAGTAGGGAGGTGTAGGCTGTACTTGGTTGGGGTCCTCATGATGCTAAGATCCAATAGCTGAAAAAGGCTATGGGCGATGTGGCTCAAAATCATTGTGACAGTGGCGAAGATGCATTTACTCCTTATGTTCTCTCCTACTATACCCACTAAGAGATGTCTTTCCCTGTTATTGTTCTTTCGCCCGTACGTTTCTGCTTTTTATCGTTCTTTTGAATCTCTATATGGAGTGTGGTAACTTGAACTACTGCACTTCTGTACAAAGTCAGTCAATCAGTCAGATTATACACGCAATATGAATGTGAGTTGTTGTTGTTTTTTTAATCTATACTACTATTTTTAGGAAGCATCATTTTAGTCGAAAATTATTTCACCATTAGCGTAGCTATGATTGACTGTATTGTAAATAAATGATTCATCATCTTTCGTATGTGTGTATTTACGATATATGACTAAGATACTGTTGTGTATGTGTTGTGACTACAACAAAAACAACAACAACAAAAGCTGCCTACATATGTATTTATAAATACACAAATGACTGTATGAATGTTTTACGTGAGTAAATTAATGTTGCATCAGTCAACATCAACGGGAGGAATTAAAAGAAAGTCACTTCGTCCAGTTATCTGTCTAGGCAAAGCATGATTTCAACTACAGACTGTGGCATAGATGAGAATGTCAAAGTCAGCTAGGATCAGAAAAGCCAGGCCAGACCTTCATTAGTCTAAAATCTGCTGTATGCATTCAGCATAAGGAAAAACATTCGGATTTTCAGCAGTATTGTCAAGATTATCAGTGCTACGACTATGTGGGGTTCACAGACACCTGGTATGCCACCGAAATCATTTCCAACATCCTACTGCATACTTTTGCCAATAGGTAGGTTACCTTAGCTCCCTACTGGAGGAGGTCTGGTGGCCGGCCACAAAGAACTAATACAACAAGGAGCTCTGGTAAAGGAACTAACCAAAGATCTTTAGCCAGACAAATGTGCTGAAGGAAATGTACATGCTGAGAAGACCGTTCAGTGACATCATGTGATAGGCCCTAGAAAGGAAGTTGTGAATGGGAAACGATAGTTTGAGTGTCCGAGAGCGATGTGCAGACCTTGTGAGGTTGGGGTTGTGGCATATAGTCAGGTATATCACATATTTATAGTGATGTTGGATCAAAGCCGAGCCTGTAATAAGACCGGTAAAGAGGAAAAGTTGGACATGAGGCTACCACAATCCCATCCCGTAAAAATAAACATCACTGCTATCGAAACTCCATAGCTCCAGCTTGAAGCCATTTGTTCCACTGGGAAGGTAGAGGAATATATATATAAATATATATATCCTCTCGTATGTCAGTCTGTCTGTCTCTGTCTGTTTTCGACATAGAACTTTGCACAAATGTGCGGAAGTTCAAGTCGCCACATTCCGTGTAGCACGCGAAGCAAGAGAAGAAAGTACAAGAAAAGCATAATAGAAACAGTGAACAGAGGTGTGAGACAAAGGAGTAATAAAGAAATACAAAACAATTTCATTGAAGATCATAAGTCACAGGGAGTGGATGCATCTGCGCCACTGAGAACGATTTTGAGCCATGTCACCAATTGTTTCCAACCATAGATTTTTACCGTCCCGAGGACCCCAGCCTGGAAGTCTACACCTTCCTACGTGACTAAGACCAACTGTTGTGGATTTCATTGACTGATGCCAAGTTTTTGTTTGACCGCCGCTAGCTCGTATGTCAGTGGTAAAATGCTGTCCAACCACACACGTGGTGTCTGGCTTTTGACCCCACCACCACCACCGAAGGACTCCTAAATTGATTATATCGAAATGTGTTATTTCCATCCTGACGACCATCTATTGTATTCGCTAATTCATGGAATGAGTGATGCACACTTCTCAAATCAAATCTTCTGTTGTTTTTTTTAAATCCTTATTTCGTTAAATATACACACATTTTACAGTTGGAAACAACCAGTCGAACCTACAGACTTGGTGCTATCAATCAAGAAAATGCTATGCAATGGATTGAACGTATACAGAAAACTATTCAATGAAGAAAGAAGGGAGAAAAAGCAGATAATGATTACTATTTTAAAAAAAGATGATGTTAATTTCGAAATATTATGGGAATCCCCGCGCATATGCGCACTCGTACATACATACACACACACACACACAAACACAGAAGTCTGCTTCTTCAAATTCACAAGATTGACGACAGATAGAGCTGAATAGATAGACAGACAGATACTTTATGCTATTTACTTTATTGTTTTTACTCTAAAATTATCATTAAAAATCATTTCAGTTGTTGGGAGTGGAGTGGGAGCTCTAGAGGTGGTGAAGTTAAACCTCTATTGGTTTTGATTTTCCCCTTGAATATAATGTACAGCTTTTATATACCACATCTATATATACATATACTCTATTTCCTTTTGATTACAAGACAGAGAGAGACTTTACTTTACTTATTGAAACAAGTTAACTGTTTATTCACACTCTCCAACACACACACACACGCACATCTCTTCTGAACATTATTGATTTATCACCTAGGATTATATTCTATTGTATTTTTTATTTCTGAACTCCTCCTCACCCCCTTGAAGGTGCTATATATATATATATATATATATATATGTTACGTTGCAATATATATATCCCGTTTGTTTCTCGATTATAACTATAATTACAACTACACTAGCCCTTGCATTTTTTTTAATAAAAGCAATATCTTCTGAGTCGACTGACTATCATCGTCGCCCTCTCTTCCTGTCTGTCTGTCTTCTCCTGCACGTACGCACGGATATGTACAGTATGACAATGACAATGATAATTAAGTGTGTTGTTTGTTATATACACCACCGATATCACTCCGTCCCCACATCCTATTCTCGTCCCTCCCCCCCCTATTGAATATGAATGAATAAACTCTATATTATACTATTAATGCTAATCATGTGTCCAGTAGGCGTTTTGATCAATCGTATAAACAGTTTTACTCTCTACTGTGTGTGTGTTGTAATTCTTATGGCAATCGGCTCTAGCTACACACTTGTGGCTTCTTCATATTCGTTTGTCTGTCTATCTGTTTTGTTGTACTTTACTTTATCACCATGACCAACCAGCTCGCTTTTGTCAATACAAAAGTCATACGTACTGTTAATGTTATTATTATTATTACTATTACTACTAATATAACTACTTAAATGCATCAATTCTCATTATTTTTAAAACAAAAATGTATTGTACAGTTTCCTGTCTCTCTCTATCTCTCTTGACTACTTTTTTTTCGTTCTGATTATGAATATTGAGTAAATGTTTCTTTGCAATGTGTTGGATTTTTCAAGACTGAAATCCACACTACCACCAAAACCCTTAATAACCTAAGTGGTGTTAACTTCTGAAAGTGGAGTTTATGGTGTACTTATTATGATTCCGATTATGATACTATACTAGTAGATCCACGGCATCACATTCTACTGTGTTCTGTAGCGCTGTACACGGAGGGGTCAAAGACGAACAACGTTATACATTAGGGAGAAACACAAGTGAAAACTTGAAAGGAGGTATTGTTAACGAAATCAAATTTCGAAGAGCGCGAGGCGAATGCAAAAAAAGTGCATAACCGCATAAAATATACAATATTTAGTAGTAATACAATGGCAAATATTCCACAAGTATGTGTAAAATTAGTTTCTGTAAGCGTATGTAACATGCGTACATGAATTAGTTTTATAGGCGTACATTTAGGCTTAATATAGATAATGGGACCCTCACGAAAGACTTGGAGGATCTGAACTTCGCCGATGACTTATATATGTCTGATTTCCCACAAACTGGAAGATATGCAAGTGAAAAGCAACAAGTTGGCAGAAGAAGCATCCAGAGAAGATAGGACTTCAGGTGAACATAGAGAAAACGGAGGTGATGAAGATTCCTGGGCACCACCAACAACAATCAGCATAAATGGGAGGAACCTGAAAGAAACAACCTCCTTCACCTACCTGGGGAGCATCGTTTCAGCTACAGGCGGAGGAACTGACGAGGATATCAAAGCAGCGAGGATCGGGAAAGCAAGGCAAGCTTTCATTACTCTCAAGTCTGTGTGGAGGTCAACAGCATGAAGAATAAGATCCGGATTTTCAACTCCAATGTGAAGTCAGTACTACTATACGGATGGATCAGAGACTTGGCACCTCAAACAAACTACAGACCTTCATTAACAGCTGTCTTCGCTCAATACTACTCAAGATCAGATGGCCGGCCAGAAATGATCAGCAACAGGGATGGATCTCTGCGAGCAAACCAACCAGGAACCGATTGTGAAACAAATAGGCAGGAAGGATTGGCCATACACTGAGAAAACCATCAAGTGACATCAGTAGATAAGCCATTACTCGAGTGGAACCCGAAAGGGAAGCGGCGAGTTGGTCGTCAGTGCGAGGGTGACTTGGAGGAGGTCATGTGAAGAGGAAATGAAAGCATGTGGGCAGACTTGGAGCCAGGTGAAAACTTTAGCAGAAAACCGAATGCAATGGAGACGTGCAGCTGAAGCCCTATGTTCCTCTAGGAATTAAAGGAAATAATATAAATAGATAGGGGGAGCTACAAATTATCCTTCCTCTCTAGGTTATCTTATTCTATTAATTTACTTCAATACACAAGTGCTATATTGACAATAGGTCATAGAATAGCTTATTTTCTCGTCATTAATTCAGATCGTTTACACCATCGTTAGGATTGACTTATTACCACTTAGTGATTTCAAATAATGATGTAATGCTTCAGTTAACGAAATATTATTAAAAATTATAATTCTAGTGACATTAAGATTGCTTCGATTGTTTTTGAATAGTAACATCAAATTTCCGAAATGACTGACTAACTGTTGTAGTTTTTGCAACCAAGTTTCAAGACAGATGTACCAAAGAAATGCGTGATGTAAACAATGTGAATTGTTGTCTGCCTCCAGGAAATGTATAACCAACAGTTCTTGAAAGAGTACAAATTGCGAATTTGATTTATGGTATATATAACCGGCAACCCCCACCCCACCCCAGTTAGTAGTAGCTAGCGAGAGACCAGATGATTTGAACTGATTTGGTTCTCTGATCTGAGTTAAATCAGACAGACACAGGCCACTGATAAGCCTGGCTTCAAAAGAGAGAAACGGCCGTTCGGTTTTCTTAGATATTGCTGGGAAGCACTACCAGTTGATTTGAGTGGCATACTAACTTCCACTACTACTCACATGTCAGTCAATCAGTAGTATACAGAAACAGCAGGAAGTTGTCAGAAAAGCATAAACCATGCTTTGAAACATCCCAGTCTCTTTTTACAATCACTTCTAGATTACACGGGGTTTCATCGTCACATAGGCGCATATCACACAAGGAATGTCGGGTAAATATTTTTTCAATGAAAAAGAATATGCAGTTTCCACCCTTAAATTACTGCGACCTATTGTGGTGAGAGCTGGCTGCTAGCCAAATTGATAAACAGTAATTTACGTCAACGTTTACGTCTCCAATATTGGTCGTGAGAAAAATAAGAACAAGGACTCATTCAACAACCAACCACAGCAAACTTTGAGTTGGCGGATATAATTTGCAGATAGATAATCTGAACTTCAGTAAACGGCTACAAAGAGATAGATGAAAGATTAACGTTCAACGAGAAAGCACCAATCAGAAGACTGTGTCTGCTTGCTTACAATAATCTATAATAATGCACATGAAAATCTATAAATATCTGTCGATTTCCTAAATAAACGATATGTTGCCTGGCCCTTCCTTGTCTTCTGTTGTTACATTATGAATCACTCCCTAGTCAAGCATACGATATTTTGGAGAACAATCTGAAATCTCGAACAAATTGCTCTTTTAGAGGAAAAAAAATGAAATTATTTATAGTAAAATAGTAGTAATATTAATAATAATCAAAAATCAAATTATGAAAGTACAATTTCCTTCAGGTATACATTTGATCGGTCTTTGCACGTTCACTATTGCATACTGCAGTAATACATGTCTCTATAAGCTTATTATTATTACTACCACTCAATAAATTCTTATCCCAATCATTGCTGGACGACGATGCATACTTACGCAGAATATCAATATCTGCTGAGGCTAAACACTTGAATATTTCTTTCACTGCAGACCATTCACATAGACTTACATCTGGTGAATAGAAGACAATGTATACACTGGACGGTGGTATTGAATTGAAATAACACCAAGTTAATGCTTCAGCTGGTAAACCTGTTAAAATATTTGGTTGTTCCAGCGGTTTTAGTGTACAGTGATTAGTATTCATTGTAGAAGAGGATGGTATATATCGGATAAATGGAGTAGATAGTTTTGATTTTGAAAGATAATGATGATTTACTGTACGACTGCACAGTACATTGATAGTCTTGATACTTTGTTTATTATTATTATAAGCATTTGGTGAAATGAGATGATCCAAGTATTGACATAAGATATGCTTGTAATCATAAGATAAATGCTTTGGTTCATTTTCAATACAAATGACTAAAGTGTTATGACAATCCGGAAGATAATAACTGGTGAATATTAGAAAGGCTTTTTTATACGATACTTTAATGATACGTGAATTTCTGTGCACTAGATTCAAGCCTAGAAGTAGATAGGCACTTGTCAATGGACCTATAGCCATGATGATATGTGATATCAGGGCATAATCTTTAAATACTTGAGTAACATTTAATTCTTCATCTTTCTCGTTACTGAATGATACAGAAATAGTATTATTATCATCATCAGTTAATTCAGTATCATTGTCATCATCATCAGAATCGAAATCTCCCAAGGCTCGGCTGAATGCAGGAACTCGTTTAAGAAAAAATTCCATTGCTGAAATGAAAAATAAAACAAATGATTCTAATGATTGTCGGTTAAAGACTTCTCTAAGTAATACTGTAGACATTCACTATTTATCTGATACTTGTAACAAGCTTTACTTCTAAACAATAGTAGTGTCCCCACATTTTCAAGCAATTCTAACCGTCACAATCGTGTTAAGGTTAAAAAAGGCAATCCAGTTTTCACAAGAATATGTGCGTATTTATTGGTAAGTGACCTGTACATTTGAATTTAGAGTACAACCACTCAATCGTGCAGAAGTAACCAATTAATTCACAAACAATATAGTCATTATATCTAGACTGACTAATCACTTCAGTAAGTGGCTTTTTTAGACGGATACGGCTAGCGTGCACTAGTTAGCATTCAAGTAAAGGCAGATGCGTTGCCCTCATAAACGACCTAGTACGGCCGAGGGTGGGTAGACTCCGCTCTTCCTTTTGAAATGCTTTCATGTGGTCACACGTGTTCATAGACTCTACCAGGGAACTCCTACTCAATACTTTCAGGTAGCGAGCGGGAGTGTTTCCGGTATAAGTGAAAGAGTGAATGTGAACGTCTGGCGCCTTACAACAGGACTGCTGAACATACAGATCTACCTAGGAGAACTAGAAAACCCTGACTACAAAAAAATAGTGTATTGTGCGTCGGGAGCACAGCGGTTAGGACGCTCGCCAACCATGTCTGTCTGTCTTTTCGACATAGAACTTTGCACAAATGTGCGGAAGTTCAAGTCGCCACATTCCGTGTAGCACGCGAAGCAAGAGAAGAAAGTACAAGAAAAGCATAAAAGAGACAGTGAACAGAGGTGTGAGACAAAGGAGTAATAACGAAGAACAAAACAGTTTCATTGGAGATCATAAGTCACAGGGAGTGGATGCATCTGCGCCACTGAGAACGGTTTTGAGCCATGTCACCAATTGTTTCCAACCATAGATTTTTACCGTCCCGAAGACCCCAGCCTGGAAGTCTACACCTTCCTACGTGGCTTAGACCAACTGTTGTGGATTTCATTGACTGATGCCAAGTTTTTGTTTGACCGCCGCTAGCTTTTTTCCAGCCTGACCCTATATCCGCTAACATAGCTCGTCGAGGGAGGCGATGACTTGGCATACGTAACACATGTCCTAACCATCTCAGTCGATGTAGCTTCACGACTTCGTCGATTGATTTCCCCTGTTTACCTAGAACTCTACGCCTAACTTCCATGTTGCTCACCTTATTATGCCACTTTACACGGGAAATAGAACGCAGGCACCTATGATCAAAGACAGCTAGTCTTTTCATGTCTTCCACTCTCAGTGGCCAGGTCTCACAACCATAAAGGAGGACGGAGCGGACTGATGAGCAGTACACCCGCCCTTTGGTCGATAGTCGAACATCTCGTCTACGCCAGAGTCGGTGTAAACTGGTAAATGCGAAACGAGCCCCTTGTATTCGTGCTGAGATTTCGTCAGAGATCAGCCCGTTGGGGCCCCAACGGGCTGATGGTACTTCCCAAATAAGTGAAGCGCCAACCATGTCCATGGTCAGGGGTCCAATCCCCGGCAGACGCATACCTGATATCAATGATCGGCCTGCTAAATTTGGGCTACCGATATCGCATGCTGAAAATCCAATAGTTATACTAAAATACCAAAATTATATGGATTCCAGAATCCATAAGAGTCAAGTGACGTATGAACCTATTTTGGTCACTGGAAGCCATAGCAACGTAGCTCCTGAAGCTGCTCTTTTCCCTTCTGGATCAAACTTCAATCAAAGGCTCTGGGGTGCCCCATTAAGCAAATCACCTGCTTAGATGTGGGCGTCTGAGCGGTACCACAGCCCTCACACAAACTCAGACTTTGTATGATGTATCTATTGGTGGCCATAGTGTACAACGCTTGGGTCTTAATAATAATAACAATAATAGTATATAAGCGTTGCGACGATTAGAATGACTCGTTTATACAAAATATTTACCGCTTACTTTACAAAATGATATTCACTATAACGAATTACTCTGCTGGGATTAGAATGCAGAAATGTTCATGTTAGTTATTACTTTCGAAATACAAATTTCGTAGTAAAGACAAAAACACCTATAAAGGATGGTCGATCTTCAATGACGTATATATATATATATATTACTGCCTCCAAAGCCTCAGGATGGTCGGGGGTGGGTGTCTTGCGCTGCGGGTTAGCCACCCCTCCATACACCTCTTGAAGTGCTCCCATATGACCGTGCGTCTTACATAGCCTCTCTTGAGGAAATCCTACTCACTGCCTTCACGTGGCGGTGTTTATTTCACCGAAGTGAGAGGACAAAAGCGGATGCCTGGCGCTCTTCACCGGGTTGACTGTCCATTGGATGACAGTCTAGGGGAGATGGCTAAACCCTGATTCCAAACCTCCAACGACTGGCGTATGAAGCTCACCGGAGTTCACCGGCAGACGTATGGACAAAGGGCTTATTGGATGCCCTGGATGTCTGGCCCCATTCAAAAAGGCGTATGAACCGGACTCCGGCCACCGGCTGGCTGCCAATGGATAGTGGACTCCCTACTCCACTCCTATTGCCTTGTAGGTCACACTTGGTTGTGTAAAGGCTAGAGCTGCACTCTCAAACAAAAGGCCGAGCGATGCTGGGGACATCACTCGTACCCATTTCCCATGAAACTTCATCAACTCTCTTACAAACATTCGAGATGTTCATGAAGCCGGTTCATCCTCCCGTAAGAGATAGCTGAAGTAAAGTAAGTGAGTAATATATTATTGATGAAATAACAGAACCAGAAGAGTGACAACTTTAGAACATTCAGTGACAGTAGGAACAGCGTATTCAGTAACCTTTCCAACAATCAGTGCTAAACCATAGATAATTTTGGTTGGCTAGTTGTTACAAAACTCAAGATCAATCACGGGATTTAAAGACCTTCAGATCGCCAACAAATGATATCCCCGCTGATTCATACCACTTCTAGTTCAAACATTAACCAGTACTGCAGGACTACTAGGTTACCTTCCATAAGATTATGGATGATATTTAAAATGGAGGAAACTGAAGCAAGAAGCTGCACGCTAACGAAAGGAATGGGAGACAGTGATCAAACATACACAAAGAGAAATTTATTCCCCTTCCATTACCATTCGTGTTACAAATAAACCCTTCTAAAGCTTGCGGTATTTCAAAACAAACTATAGACAAATAATAATGAGACATCACCACATGATCTTATGTGAAACTACAAATACCAGACCATCAAAAACTTGACATCAGTGCATGAAGACGTCGTGGTTCACTTCATTTCTCAAAACAAGATGTGAACTATGATTGATTAAGAAACTTATTTATTTATAAACACATTTATCAAAAGACACCTAATGTAGAACTAACATTCGCCTCAACTAACAATTAACTTCCATTTTGACTGAAACGTTTTCAATAACAGCATACAGTCGAATGTTAATGAGACCTAGATGAGAGTTCCGCATCGGATCTGCGAAGTAGACGTACAATGGATATATATTAGAACGGTGAATTATGTGACACAATTGAAGCCATCGTATCAAATACAAACATCTAGCGAGTTTAGAACTTTGAATAAACTGACATATGTGAGCGTGACGGAAGTCTGAGAAAAACAAAACTGGAAACAGAAGTGAATAGAGTAGCACAACACAGATCACAGCCAAAAGTAAAACTAGGAAGCCTTTACCGCAGTAATTTCAACTACTAAACACACTGCAAAGTGATGATTTGCAGCGTTTAAGACACAGGGTGCGGTCACTAAAATATTTTCCGAAGAACTACAATACTGTCTGGGTGTCTAAAGTGAAGCAAAGAGGCCATTTCCAGAGCTCTTCAATTCAATTTAGTACACAAGATAGAACAAAGTGAGGCAGCCTATGATAAAAGTGAGCCGAAGTAACTACTTGCAAATACCAGCGACCCCCGCACATCACAATACATAGCTTTAACCTTACATATATTAGTCCTCTTACATTGCAAAAATTAGCAATCACCTTCCATGTCCCGATCTTGGCAATTAAACTGGTTGCTCCTTATCTCATGACCAAATTCCTGAATACACAGCCATTGAAGACTAATGTCAGCCCCTCGCACTGAATAAATCCAGTTATTCCTCACTTAGATTTCAGATTTCAGATTTTTTGTTTGAGGATAGAAGGCTTGCAGCCTATGTTAATCCTTTTCTAGTAGATTTCTGTGGTTGTCCAAACCCTTCTTGAACGAATCAATTGAGGTTGCAGACACCACTTCTTCTGGGAGTCGGTTCCAAGAGTTTATGACTCGATGTGAGAACCAGTACTCAACAGCAATATGATTTCTCCTTGGCTTTTGAACTCTCCTGCTATGTCCTCTAAGGTGTTCCGACCTGGTGGGAAGGAAAAGAGAGAATAGGTCAGGTCCGTAGTCATTATTTAAAATTTTAAACATTGTGATTAAATCTCCTCTCTGCCTACGGTATGACAGTGAGAAGAGATTTAAACTATCTAGTCTTTCCTCATATGATAAGTTAGCTATGCCGTGAACCATACGTGTTGCCTTCCTTTGAACACTTTCTAGAATGTGTGAATCCCCTTTTAGACACGGACTGGCGGCCTGGATGCAGTTTTCCAGTCTTGACCTAACCAGAGATGTGTATAAGGAGGTGAACATATCTCTGGTAATTCTTGTAAAGGCTCTGCGAATCGCCCATAAGGACCTGAAACTACGTGCAGCCACCGCGCGACAGTGTGCTGTAGTTTTTAAGTCGTGGCTAACTATGACACCTAAGTCCAAGTGAGTCTGAACTGATGGAAGTGTTATTCCCTCTAGTTCGTAGGAGCTCGTGCTTGCTTGTCCAATGCGCATGGTTGCACATTTTGCCACGTTGATCGGGAGCATCCATTCAACAGACCACTCCGACAGTTTGTTGAGGTCGTCTTGCAAGGTGGACGTATCACTGTTGCCCTTCAGCTCCCTCCAAATTTTTAAGTCATCTGCGTATAGGACCATAGGGGAGTCGGTCAGCAGAGGTAACTCATTGATATACAGAATAAAAAGGAGAGGACCGAGAACCGTGCCTTGTGGCACTCCGCTACTTACTGCTGTCCAGGAGGAGAGTTTTGAGTTGATCCTAACCCTCTGCCTCCTATCTATGAGGAATTCCCTGAGCCAGTCTAGTAGTCTGCCTTTGATACCAAGACTTTCCAATTTCATGAGTAGTCTTTTGTGAGGTACTTTATCAAAGGCTTTACTGAAGTCTATGAAGACGACGTCAACGGGTCTTCTGTCATCCTTTGATTTAACCCAGCTTTCTCTTGCAGTCAGGAGATTTGACAGGCATGAGAGGTTCCTCCGGAAGCCATGCTGTGCTCCAGATAACAAGCTGCTATTTTCCAGATAAGCCATGATGCTTTTCTTGATAATTCTTTCCAGTGTCTTGATTAAAGTGCTGGTGAGACTGATAGGCCTGTAATTTGAAGGGCTTTGTCTTGATCCTCCTTTGTGTATGGGAGTTACTATGGCGTCTTTCCAATCACGTGGCAACACTCCATTTTGGAGAGATAGCTTGAAGATCGTGGTCAAGGGGCCGGCTATGTGGGCTGATAGCTCCTTGAGAAGCCTTGGATGAAGACTGTCAGGACCCATTGATTTTCCTGCATCTAGTTTCATTAAGAAGTTGAGCACGATGCCTTGGTCGATGTCAACGGAATCTATCCCATGTTCTTCTGATGCAGCCAGAGCTGATCCTATAGGCAGTGATGACTCCTGAGTGAAGACTTGGGAGAAGTAGTTTGCCATTGCTTCTGCTTTTTCTTGATCTTCTTCGATTGTATCTTTGTCAATAATCAGGTTTGGGACACCATTGGGTGTTTTATTCCTGAAATTCAAGTACGAGAAAATTTTCTTAGGTTGTGCCTTTGCATTTACTAAAGTATACTTTAGTTTAAGTAATCAAAAGTGCGATGGCACGTGTTGATTCTCTACGAACTCCAGTCAATCTAGTAACACCCTGACTCTAGTGTGGTTATCTCTTACTAAGGATCAGTTTTGGTGCATTTCGGTGGCAAATATAGATAACAACTGGTAATATACACAAACCAATTAAGTGAGGCTGGAGAGGTATTTATATTGACCGCTATCCGAATACTCTCATAGGTCGCACTTATTCAATCTCCAATGTTCGTGTTGCGGACTAATGCGAATCAAATCGATTCCTTAGCATTCTCATCTTAGTAACAAGAGAGACCTCCTTATCACTGGCGGATTTCTGTCTTGTAGATCCCATCACTCGCATCACACAGTTATTGTAAGCCTCAAAGACTGTGAGAAGCCGGTTAGATTTGAAGAGGAGGATTGTTTAATGCTGAAAACATGGTGCTGCTTTAGTCATTTCCCCATGTAACCCTCTCGTCCGGCCACTGCAGCAAAATTATAATGAAATGATGGAAGAGAAAAGAAGACATGGGAAAGTCAGAGATAACAGTGAGAGGAAGGGTGATACAATACAATGAGAAGTACTATAATATATATTTCTTTCTGTTTATGCAGGAACATACCAATTTTACAGGCATGGATAAATTATCATACAAATTTCACATAATTTGGTGTGATGAATTTACAGTGTGATTGTTCTTTCTGACATTAGAGTCCATCGGAACAGTCTGCTTTAAAGTCTGTTTGTGCAACAAATAAAGAAATATAGAAATATTGTCTTCGCATTAACAAAAAACCCAGACATCAGATGGATGTAATACAAATATCTGGGAAAAATAAAGCTTGAAGTCAATTCTCCTATATAACTTTGTTGTGAACAGCACCCTTGGCTTAAAGTTTATTGATGTATTATGTTGAGATCAGTGATATATTTATTCCATTTTTCAGCAGTCTTATCGTAGTTTCATAACAGGAAAGAAATTTGATCGTGGATACGAAAACCAGATAAGGTCATGTTAAGTTGTTTTACTGCATCAAATGGTGCCGAGGTCGATTCCAGAATTCTCCATTTGCTCCATTTGTGTCTGCATGGCGGACTGTATTCGTAAGTTGAGTAAAATGTTGAAAACTGTTTGAAAACCAGTTGCTTCTTCATTTCAGATCATGAATACTCATTTACAGCATGTTTGCCAGCGTCTTCAAATGGTAGAATTAGATCGTTCATGGAATTTGAGTGGTTATGAGATAAATGATTTGGAATTAATCCTCATTTCAGTTTAGATGCAGGGTTGTTCGACATCGACCAGAAGATGAATAGGAGCAGCAGAATACCAGAAAAAGAAAGTATGTGAAAATGAAAAGGACATTAATATTTTATGCACTTATAAATGTTTATGTCAATTGTATATTACACATTAGTAAAAATTTACGTTTTAGTTGTGTTTTCACGTATTTATGCGAAGTCTTAGAGTTTGTTTAGTGTCATAATGTGTATTAATCAGTCTGAATGTTTTAGCGTTCTAATGTCTGGTGCGTTTTAAAAATAAGTGATGGGTTCTGGTAGGGATAATCACTGGGACAAAACAGTTTATATAGCAAGCGTTTGAAGGTTACCCTAGAGTGACACGTCCTATTTCTAAGGGTAAACTATTCCTGTATGTTCCGTACTAAGACTTTATGCATCCATGCTGCTAGTTTATTTATATTTTTTAGATTGCAAAGGGTGTTGAAGTGCGTCATTTAGGTGCTGTAGTAGATTAGTGATTGATTCGTTCTAGGAGTATATAGTTTATTAATATAATCAATAGAGTGAAACAGTCTGTACAGAGAGCGTTTGAAGCTTGTAACTGAAGAGCAAGTTCTGATGTCTAGAGGGAGGCTGTTCCATATTTTAGAATACATGAGTGTGAAGAAGTTTTCACGGAGTGTTGACTTAAAGGAATGAGTTGTCACTGTGGATGTTTGGTTACGCAGATGGTAAGAGCCTTCCGGCGAGAATTGTATGTCCCTGTTACCTGAGAGCGATATTTTGTGAAGGACCTTAAAGAAGAATATTAGGTCTATAATAAGTCGTCTTGTCCAAAGTTGGTCAGGTTTTAGGATCACGCACCGTGAGATGTAGTCTTTCTTACAATCGTATCCAAGTAGTTGGGAGGTAAAATATCGTTGGATACTTTCCATTCTTAGCTTGTCACGTGTGCGAGTGCTGCTTATAATAAATGGACAGTATTCTAGTGGTGGTCTGACACATGTTTTGTACAGGATTAGCTTGGCTTCATTGTCGTGAAAGTTCCTGAGTATGCATCCTAAGAGCATCCTCGACTTTCGAGTCTGTGATGCTACTTGCTCAGAGAATGTTAAGTCACTGGATTACCTCAAGCCTAGGTCAACGACACTTCGGAGTCTGGTTAAGTTAGCAGATTGGAGCGTTAATTTCAGGTCAATTGAGGTTGCTCCGAAGCAAATCCAGCCACATTTGTTCAGATTAAATTGGAGGTTCCATAGGGACGACCAAGCAGTCATTTTATCTAATTCCTTCTGCACTACATTCTCGAAGTACCCTAAGCCATCACGTTGGAATGTATAGCTCTTGCAGCATCTCCAGTGCAATACCTCATGAAATACATTAACTTCAATTCATCACTTAATAAAAAAACTACTCAGCATAATCTCAAACTTCTTTGCAAATTGTAAATAATCAGCCGAGTTTCCACCGAAACACCGTGGTTCAAATTTAGGGAGTTTGATGTTCCTATTATCCCTAGACGGCGAAACAGTAACATCAACCATGTCATGTTTAACATCAGACACATCGTTACAATTAACAGACAAGTCACCATGACTTACTTTCCTGTTTGCATCCAAGACGCTCTGTCCCTTCTTTGACCCAGGCATTGTTGAACTTGACCCAATTCCAAAAACGTTCCAGATATTGCTTGTTCAAAGAAGACTTGGCCGGCACCATGAAAGATGAACGGCGACTATCCAAACTGTCACCAACTGTTCGAAACCGCCAAAAACTGACGCCGTACCATCAGAAACTGTCAGCCACGTCTCGTAAACCGTTAATGCCCAGCTCTTGCTACGCCGGCACTCACGCTGTTCCTTGAAGATTCTCAGAAACGCTTAGTAATAACGGACGCAGAAACCAAAACACCGATTGGCGACTCGAGAATTCTTTATTGTAACACCAACATATAGCCAACTTTACAACTAAGTTTTACAACTAAGGTCTATGAACAAATATTATAATAATAAATCACAATATTACTTCTGACGGTTGTCTCCTGACTTCTTTCTGAACAGCGACCGATGAGACGATGACTGGCTGACTGATGCTTCAGCGAAAATTGGGGAAGTTGGTTTTGAGCAAACAACCATGAATTGATCGTTCAATCTTCAACTACATTGACAACGGTGGTTACCTATAATCAGATCCTCAGCCACGTGGATGATCGCGAGTTATGCAAAAACTGCTCTAAAAATACTTGGCACAATACCTCAGTTTTAGTGGGATTTTCGGATATAATCGCACGCGTATATTAGCATGTAGGAAGGTTTGTGAATATTAAGGTGTCCAGTGACACTGTTTATTTGAACCAGTTTCATATTTTTGGAAACAACATACTTCTTTGCGGTTGTAGCGCTTGCTCGCTGGAAGGAAACCTGGAAGACAAGGTTGCAAATTTCGATTTTTATTATACTGAAATTCGCTGTTGACCTTTCAGTGTATTTATGTTAATCATTCTTGAACTGGAGTGTGAAGGTAGTGTCCTTTGCCGTGCTCCATTGGTTCATCGTTGGCTGACTTTCCTGTATGCGTTTTAGTACCACTCTCTCTGAAGTTGAATTGTTTGTAAAACACATAAATAGTATCTTGAGTCCTGGAATGTTGTATTGTGGCAGCATCATTAATTTCCGATGGTACTGTTCATATGCGCATGGCCGACGGCCTTCACAGAGGTCAGTCCATCGCACCTGCTTGGAGACTTGTAACAAGCACAAGGACATTACAAAGGAGTGAGTTATTCTGCCTTCTCCAATGCTTCAACTCACATCCTACAAAATGATCTGCAGTTATTGCAGCCTACAAGAAGCACGACCCACCGGCCTATCACTGAACTCTGCAGTGATTACAAGTTTGGTGACGTCATGGCTAGTCTATCAAGTGGAAGTGATCAGCTGGTGGTCTAAATGCTCCTTGGCTACTCTTCAATAGTGCACCGGTTTTTACGAAGTTCTCAATCGAAGGCTTAGGTTACAAGATTATCATCCATACACAGAAATCGACTGTCAAAAAGAACACATTGTCTGCCTTCGAAAACAACGAAACGAAAAAACTCAGTCAGGAGCATACATTGGTAGGGATTCAAAAGGTTGCCAACGAACCGACATCCACTTTTAAGGGTCACAAGTTCATCCATATATAAAAGCACACTGCGCAGTACAGCACTGGGTTTGCAGTTCATCTCACATGATATAAATTTTACCTGCGTCGTTGTATTTATCTGCAGTCATTAAAAAAGACACTGCACAGTGGAAGGAGCCAGAAAAAGTACACCATTATCAGACTATATCCCGTGTAGCAGAAACACTGATCCAAAAATCCTTCCCGAACAATCTTTTTGGGGAGCGATATTCGTTCGATTGCTTCCACTGATTTAGTAATTATTATACCTTACCACTGACCAGTGCATCATCAGTTCAATGTCTGCTTTTCTGATTTCGAATTAATATCTACTGTTTGTCTTTAGTTTGTAGAATTCCTGCCCTCACCGTGTCAGTTTGCTGATGTGAATGAGTGGAATGAAGAAAATAATGTGTCGCTTTACAGTCGCAAGCTGAAGACTACGCACGAGATCATCTGACTGCCCTTGAACTGTCCGCTAAAAATGTGCTTTATCCTATGTAATTCTTGCAGATAGAGTTCTGGCAGTGCTTTACGGAATATTCGAATTGATTTGAGAGTGTTTTAGGGTTATATATGATTAATTATTTTGCTTTGTGGTACACATTTGTCCTTGAGAAGCATTTCGCCTTTACGGTACCTGGAAGGCGATGCGGGGACATTTTTTCAAATCGGGCTCACCTTATCAGAGTTTGTTAATAGCACAGATTTCTTATTTCAGCGTTGTTGGAATGTAGTGTTGATTGCGTGACTAACAGAGGTTTGACAAAATATGTAGAACTGCGGAGTTAATGCATGAAAGATTGGGCTCGCTAGTGCTGAAAAAGGTAATCAGTGGTGTCAA